CCACTGGGGCTGAAAACGGCCTCCCAGGGGGCTGAAGACGACGGATCATCTCGACCCTCGAATCCACTCAAGGCCGGCAAGAGTTGAGCAGGGGCCGACCGTCCCGGCATTCCTATAGTCCTACCACGAAATCTTCTTTAAACTCCAAAATGTTCTAAGAACAAGAGCAATGTTCTCATACAATAAGCCCGATGTGCTCAAACAAGACAGACTCCACCAGAAGTGTTATAAGAACATTTCGTGGAAACCGCAAAATGTTCTTAGAACATTGATTGGTAGGGCTATAGGCGAGCCAGGACGCTTCGCCACTGCTTGAAAGAGACGGGCATCGCGCGCGCCCTGGCCGCTGCCACCGAGCCTCCCCCCAGCGGGCCCCTCCCCGTCCACCTCGGCGCATGCCAAAGGGGTGGGTGGCCCACGGGCGTGTCTTACACGTGGCGGGCTCAAGCAACCCTGAAGCAACAAACCTCGACATCTCTTGGGAGGTGGATGGTTACGTCCGCCGCTTTTCGCCGACCTGCCGCCGGCGGAGGCGCCCTCGTTTTGCTTCCGCCGCCTTCCGCTGGTCTTCCGCCGTCTTCCGGCGAGGAAGAGATCAACTCCTTCGATCCTCGAGGAGGAGGTCCTTTCTTGAACACCTCACGTGCTCGACGATGGCGATCATAACCCATGGAGCCAGGACCAGGGCAAAATCGGGCTGGGATAAGTCGGGGGTCTCTGAGATCCGGCGCTTCTGGAGGATGTATCGGGCGCTGCGGCTGTTCCAGAGCGCTCTGGAGAGCGCTCTGAGGGCGTTCCACAACGGTCTGGAACATCTTGTCCTGGTCCTGGCCCCGTCCGATATTTAGCCCCCACCGCCCCCTCCCGACTGTCCTGCCCAGCAACGCGCGCTCCTGCCTTGTGGGCCGGGCCGGCGCCGGCTTTGATGAGCTTGCTCAGGGTGGTGTGCCTGAGGATGGGTGGACTTTTGCAGTGCACTGCTGCAGCCCAAGAATCTGATGCAACATCTGCTGAGATTGGGCGCCAGGGGAAACAATCAATCTGAGCATCTGCCCAAGAAGTGAAGGTCTCGGCAGCGGCAAGCCTGTACCAAGCCGCTGCAGCACCTCCAGCCGAGACTTGGAGACGGCCTGCGGCCCGAGAGTAGCAGCCCTGCCTGAAGAGAGTGGAGGATGGATAGTACCCCCCCCCCAAATGTGCCCCCCCCGACTTTATTCCCAACCCTCCTGCGTTGGGTTCTCGTTTTGAATAGAGCACTGCTCGCGCGAATCCCGCCCCCCTCTTCCCCCCTGCCTTTTACCTGGCTCGTCGCTGCATTTCGAGGGCTGCTGGGGGCTGCGATCTGTGAAACTGTCGCCACTTTCGAGGGCTGCTGGGGGGCCCAGCACAGTCTGCACCCGCGGCGGACTCAAATGGGACCTCGCCATCCCTGGGGGGCTGCGATCTGCGAAACCGTCGCCACTTTCGAGGCCTGCTGGGGGGCCCAGCGTAGTCTGCACCCGCGGCGGACTCAAATGGGACCTCGCCATCCCGGGGGGGCTGCGATCTGTGAAACTGTCGCCACTTTCGAAGCCTGCTGGGGGGCCCAGCACAGTCTGCACCCGCGGCGGACTCAAGTGGGACCTCGCCATCCCTGGGGGGCTGCGATCTGCGAAACTGTCGCCACTTTCGAGGGCTGCTGGGGGGCCCAGAACAGTGGGTACCCACGGCGGACTCAAATGGGACCTCGCCATCCCAGCACAGTCTGCACTCGCGGCGGACTCAAATGGGACCTCGCCATCCCTGGGGGGCTGCGATCTGTGAAACTGTCGCCACTTTCGAGGCCTGCTGGGGGGCCCAGCACAGTGGGTACCCACGGCGGATTCAAATGGGACCTCGCCATCCCTGGGGGGCTGCGATCTGTGAAACTGTCGCCACTTTCGAGGCCTGCTGGGGGGCCCAGCACAGTGGGTACCCACGGCGGATTCAAATGGGACCTCGCCATCCCTGGGGGGCTGCGATCTGTGAAACTGTCGCCACTTTCGAGGCCTGCTGGGGGGCCCAGCACAGTGGGTACCCACGGCGGATTCAAGTTAGACCTCGCCATCCCTGGGGGGCTGCGATCTGTGAAACTGTCGCCACTTTCGCGGCCTGCTGGGGGGCCCAGCACAGTGACGCCACACGCAGATTCAAATTAGACCTCGCCATCCCTGGGGGGTTGCGATCTGTGAAACTGTCGCCACTTTCGAGGCCTGCTTGCGGGGCCCAGCACAGTGACGCCTCCCAAGTAGCTTACACATCAAGTTGATTGTCCATACAAGTTTCGGCCAACTCATCGTTTCCACTGATACAAATGGGTTGGGTACGTCACAGGGTAATTATGGAATCCGGAGTAGAGGATGGAAGAGTGCAGTCATCCTGCGGCCGTGTGGAGCGCCAGATGAGATACTCAACGGGCTTCGCTGGCCACGGCGAACCTCAACAGGCCCCCCGATGCGGATCTAAGGAACAGCCCGGGAAACCATAGCCCCTTCTAAATCCAAACTGGCTCTGACCTCAGCGTCTTGACAGTAGGAATATGAGTAGGAGTAGGGTGAGGAAGAGGAGGAGGACGAGGAGGAGGAAGAGGAGGAGCAGGTGGAGGAGGAGGAGGAGGAGGAGAAATAAGGGTTGGGGGCCATGCGTAAAAGGGGGAGGAAGGGGGTCAGCGAGCTCCAGCGGACTCGACAGGGGCTCAAAGATAGGGCGGAAGGAGCCACAGAGGCGATTCGCAGCCACGTGCGCGGCTACGGGCTAGACGGGCCCTCCTGAGAGGTGGTCGACGGCATCAGATGAGAGATGACCTCCGCGCTGACAGGAGGTTGAGCAGGAGGCTCCTCCGCCGCCTGCGAGAGCGCCACCGCCGTGGGACAGCAGGGCGTCCTGCTGTTCGTCGTCGTCGGCTGTCCTGCTGCTCCCCCTCCTGGCGGATAGTGGGGCAAGGTGAAAGGGTACGTTGGGCAGCGGGGCACGGTGGCCCTGAACGTTTGACTTTCAACTGGCCGGAGAGCATTTGCGATTTTTCACACTCAAGCTGTTCCTTCAAATGCTCGTCGTCGTCTTATTTCGCCTTCTCCTCTCCTTCCCTCTTCTTCCTCCGTTTCCTCCTTCTCTTTCCCCTCCTCCTCGGCCTTGTCCTCCTCCTCCTCCCCCTCCTTATCCCCCCCGGCCCCCCCACCCGTCCCCCGACCCTGTCTCTATCCCCGTTCTGGTCCCTTCCCCCTCCCCTGCCCCTGGCCACGTCCCGAGCATCTTCCCCCTCTCCCTCTCCCTCTCACCCGTCTTCTCCGTCCCCCTCTTCCTCTCAGCTTTCCACTTCCGCATCCCGCTTCCACCTGCCCGCAACCGCCCACGCTGATATTACCGTGGCCGTCCCTGCCCCATCGTCCACGCCCACGTCCCATTCCCCGTCTCGGTCCTCCGCCACACCCCTGTCCCCATCGACCTCCTGCTCCTCCTGCTCCTTTTCCTCCTTCTCCTCATCATGCTTCTCCTGCTCGTGCTTCTCTTCCTGCTCTCCCTCCGCCTCCACCTCCACCTCTTCCACCTCCTCCTCCTCCTCCTCCTCCTCCTCCTCCTCCTCCTCCTCCTCCTCCTCACCCCGTCCAACCACCCCTCCTCGCATCCTCCTCCCCTTCCCCCCTCTCCCCTCGCCCTTCTTTTCGCCCTCCCATCTCCATTTTGATTTGGGTGGCCGCCCGGCCCTCCGCTGCAAAGCCTCGGAGCCACGGCTGCCACGGAGGCCGGCTTCACCTCGGACCAGCCCTGCTTCCTCAGCATGTCTGGCTCCTTCGGCGGCCGCGTCGGCTCCTGGACGGGGGCTCGGAGGACGTGCGCCAATTTCACAAAATATCAAGGCGAGGGTGATATGGAGGTGCGGCGGAAGACCCGATGCAGGCATGGACGCTGTTGTGTTTTTTTTCCAGCTTGGTGAACTCACCTGAACAATGCAGTTCGGCCTGTCGACGGCGCTCGCATGGATGATGTCATAGCAGCGTGTTTAAGAAACATAGGGACCTGGGTATTTCCAGAAATTCGAACGAATCCCAAATCAATACACACATTACTCTGACGGTAGGACCCCGCGCGAAATTCTGTCTAGATTGCCCTGCGCCCTGTCCTCCTCGCCGTGGCGGGCACCCCCCTCTCGCCCTCTGCTCTGCCCTCTTTTCCTCCTCCTTCTGTTTCGCCCCTCCGGCTCCTCCGGTTCCTCCGGCTCCTCCGGCTCCTCCTCCTCCTCCTCCTCCTCCATTTTATCCTCGGCATCCTTCTCCACCTCCTCCTCATCATCGCCCTCCCCCTACCCTTTCCTCCCTCCTCCTCCTCCTCCTCCTCCTGCCTCTTCTCCGTGTGCACCTCCCCTATCCCCTGGGTGGGGCAAGCAAATCGATCTTCCTCGGCGCCGCCGCCGCCTCGGCCAGCGCGCGCGCGCGTTCGCCGACGGCTGGGCCACGAAGCCTGTGGGACAACCCCGCGGGCCACGCCTTTGGGGCAAACCCCCGGGCCGCGGGGGCGCGCGGGCAAGCCGTCGGGACAACCCCGCGGGCCAGGCCGTCGGGACAACCCCGCAGGCCTCGAGGCAGGCGCGGCCGAGCCCAGGCGGGGGGCAGCGCGAAGCCCAGCCGTGCTGCGAGCTGCTCCGCCCCACCCCTGGAGGTCTTCGCTTTCTCGTTGAACTTCTTGAGCGCCTTCCGCAAGGGCACCGGCGACCCGCGCTCCAGAAAGGCGCGCGCGGTCGGCCGCGGCATCAGCGTGTCCCGCATGCGCGTGGCGCGGGAGAACACGACGTAAAAGTGCAGCCGCCGCTGCTCGCCCGACATGCCCATGCGGCCAGCGTCCTCGTCCCTTGCGCAGTCGATGGTGAGGCCCTTGCGCAACGTCTGGCCCTGCGACAGCGTGGAGGTGAGGTAGGACGCGTGCATGACGGTGAACCCCGAACGGCGCACGACGCGCGGCCCCGAGCTCTACCGCGTGACCTCCTATTCGCTGGGCGTGGACATGAGCAAGCTCCTCGCCCGCGCCTCGGCCTCGCCGTCGTCGTCGGCACTGTCGGCGCCCTGTCGCAGCAGCTCGGCGACCTCCTGGAAGATCGGAGACTCCTTGAACCTGTGCACCTGCAGCCAGATTCCCTGGCCCAGCGCGCACCCCTCGTACTCCGAATGAGGCCCGAGGAGCCCACAAATGACGACAATTGCGGGATTCGCATGACCTGGCTCGGACTACCAACGCAAACCTCGGGCTCCATAGGGAAAGGCCTCCCGCCTGAGACTTCCCCACAATATACGCACAAACGAGGCCCCCGCTCGAGACTTCCTCTGTATTCATGCCTCAGGGGTCCAAGCGTGACGACAATTATAAATTTCCGATGACCCGCTCGGATTACCAACGCAAGCTGCGGGCCCCATGGGGAGGGGTTCCCGCCTCAGACGTCCTCGCAATTCATTTACAGACGAGGCTCCCGCTCGAGACTTCCTCCAGATTCAGGCCTGAGGAGGCCAAAAGTGACGACAACTACAGGATTCCGATGGCCCGCTCGGATTAGTAACATGATCTGCGGGCTCCATAGGGAGGGAGATGCGCGGTGCAGTGTTGCGACGGCCTGTGGCCTGAGGTGCGCGGTGCAAGTCCAGGACAACGCGCAAGCCTCCGACTGGGATCGTTGCTGCTCGTACAACAAATCACAATGTACAGCCCGCCCGCGTACAGAAAGCGCGGGCTGCGACAGCCAGCGTGCAATTTGTGCGGCCTCTGGCTTCCTTGGGGAAGAAACATCCAAGCCGTCAGCGCCTGCATCGGGTCTGCTCCGGGAGGGGGAGGGGGAGGGGGTGATGAAGAGGATAGGACGGATGATGAGGAGGAGAAACAGGAGAAGGAGGATGAACACCACCAGCAACAGCAATAGGAACCGCATTGCAGATGATGCGGGTGCGGAGGTGGAGGAGGACGGTGGGATGATGGTGATGTTGCTGGTGATGACGGTGGCAATGACGTTGGCGATGGCTGCGATGAGGACGACGATGCTGATGCAGATGGTGATGATGGTGATGATAATGACAATGATAATGATGATGATGAAGATGATGATGATGATGATGATGATGATGATGATGATGATGATGATGATGATGATGATGATGTTGATGATGATGATGATGATGATGCTGATGCTGATGCTGATGCTGATGCTGATGCTGATGCTGATGCTGATGATGGTACTGATTTTGATGATGGTTATGATTACGGTGGTGCCGAAGATGATGGGTCGGATGACTGTGGCGGTGCTGCTGCTGATACAGTTGATGATGATGCTGGCGGCGGCGGCGACGACGATAATGATGACGATGAGGATGGTGATGATGATGACGACGATGATGACGACGACAATGATGATGCTGCTGATGATGATAATGCTGTTGGTGTTGATGCTTTTCCATGATCAGCACAACTGCCAAACACCACGCCTTGAAAGGGCACCGAAAAGGAGCTAGTGCCCTCCGGCAACGAGAGCGCACGCCTGGGTTGGCCCACAGAGGACGACAAGGGAAGGAAGAAGAGGACGGCGGGGCCGAGTGGAAGAAACAGCAGTTCCTGAACGAAGAAAAGACAACGCGAGGGGACGGGACAAGAGAAGGGAGGCGACAGAGCGAGGAGACAAGTCGAACAGAGGCAGAACGACAAGAGACACCACAACGAACACGCTACATTGTGGTCACTTTGCTCTGGGAAGAATCGGCCTAGGGCCATGCGGGGGGGCAGGAGGAAGAGGAGGAAAGGCGGTCACAACATAATGCACTGCGACGGCTAGCATCTCCGAGCGGCGCTACGCCTATTTCCCGAAGCAACATTCTATATCGGGCCTGCTCCGAGCCATCGGTACCAACAACTACAGCATTACTGACCTCGGGGCGGGGACCGCCGTCATCGAGGATGTGCTCACGCCGATTGAGGCCAGCACGAGACTGTAGATCCGCACGATCATGAAGCTCATCCTCCACAAGGTGGAAAGGCACAACACGGGACGACCCAAAGAGGCAATCCAAAGACGAAGCGACAATCTCGATAGGCCTCTGCAGGATAGCACCCGTTTCGGGAAGATGAACAGCACACGCGGTGGGTACGTGGGGGCCCGCATGAGAAGGAGCGGCAAGAATATTCGCCCGTACATAAGAATGGTACACGAGCAAGAAAATCATCATTACCAGGAAGGTCGGAAATATCCGCACGAGCGCCATATACGGGAGGATCAGGAGGACCCGCACGAGCAAGAATCGCATCATGTGGGCAACATGCTCCAGACAAAACAAGAAATCGACATTCCTAACACCACCAAAACATTCATCAAGGCCAGCAACAACTCTAGGAACCTGCTCAGGATGAACCCCAGCACGACCACGAGGAACATCCGCACAAACCCATGAAGATCAGCAGACCCTCAACAAGAACAACGTCAAGCCTGAGACGAGGATCCGAAACCCGACACCCGGAATCAGCAGCGCGCGCGGAAGGAACAGAAAGACCCACACGAATATAAGGATCAAGGCGAACCGCCCGTACATGAAGATCCGTCTCACAATCCGCATGCTCAGGAAAGTCAGCGCGTGCAAACAGATCACCACCACATGCAAGAAGATCGGACGTATCCGCACGGTCACCACGCGCGGTATGTACAGGAAGGTTCGCACGAGCAGAAGTACCAGCATCACGATCCAAAGGCTCCTTGAACATATTCACCATCTGGTTCAACATGCTCCGCAAACAGCGTGAAGATCAAGATTCCAAGCACCACCGCGACAGTCGTCAGGGCCCACAGCAACTCCAGGAACATGGTCAATACGAACACCTGCAATGCATGATCACCAGAGAAATCCGCACCAAACTCAGGAAGAACAGCACGACCCTCAGGAAGAGCCACACCAGGCCTATGAGGATAATCCGCAGCCCGACACCAAGGAGGTAACTCAACACCTCGAAGACCAACACACCCTTGCACACGAATATCCGCACGCGCTGGAAGATCGGCCACAAGGACCCTACGTACAGACATATCCGCACACACAAGAAGATCAACATCAGGATCCGCAGGCCCGTGCCAATCCCGAAACTTTGGGGTAGCAAGAACATGTGGCAATCCGTGCGTTCCTGGCCGCTTGGAGGCCCCCGCCACCGCCGCCACCCTCCACGGGTCAGAACTGCCATGCCCATGCCAAGGGCCAGGCGAAGAAGGAGCCTCACGATGCCGACGCACATGACGGAGCCCGCGATCGTGACGATCACCGCCATCATCAGCGTCAACATCATCGTCAGGATCCTCATCACGTGGGCTTCCAAGCTCGCTCCAACAACGATCAGGAGGAAGAAGCAGAACAGCCTGCACGGGGCGCAAGACGATGCTGATCTTGGTCTCGCCAACGCTCCTCTGATGACCGTGGTCCACGGAGACAAGATTGGGCAAATGCTGTACAACAGACTGCAGCCAGAGGATGGTGAAGCAGTTCCGCATGGCCGCGTTGAACACAGACAGCAACACAATGTGCAGAAGAGCTCAGTCAAGATGTGTCGCCATGCGAACCCGAGCCTGGCGCCCAGCGGCAAGTTGGGCAACCACCCGCTCCAGCCTGGAACCAACGGCCATAGCGCAGCAGGGCGCACTGAAGAGCAGAGGACCACACGTGTGGTCCAATGGCCAGCGACCCGAGCAAGTGCTAGAGCCAAAGTAGCTATGATGGGAGTGGTGGTGGTGGTGATGCTGATGATGATGCTGATGATGATACTGATGAGGATGATGATGATCATGATCAGCATGATGATGGAAATGATACTGATGAGGACTATGATGCGGATTGTAAGGAGGATGAGTGATGAAACTGATGAGTGGTTCGAATCGCCCCCCTCCTCGAATGGTATAAGTGTTCCCCCTGTTAGAACTCTAGGCCTTCCTCCAACGACAACTCCAGATTGGTATCCTCAGGTAGAGTACGCCTCAGGGGGCTCCGAGGCGCTCAACCCCAGAGAGATCTGACGGCTCCCCTGCGGTCCTTAAGTTCCAACAGGCTTCCATCGGACTGCCACACACACATATATATATATATATATATATGTTTACACATATATATATATATATAGAGATAAGCACATACACACACACACACATATATATATATATATATATATATATATATATATATACTAGAACCACGCGCGCGCTTTGCGCGCGCTTAGGTTCTAGCTAGGATCATTATCGCTGGGAGTTTGACGTAGCTTCTCGGGAGCCTCTGAACCTGTCGGGGGCCTCCTGGAAGCAGGTTCGAAGCATTTTGGGGGCCGATTTGGGGCTTCTCGGGGCCTCCTTTGGGCCTCTTGGGGGTCTCCTGGGGCCTCTTGAGGGGCCTCCTTGGGGCCTCCTGGCGGCCTCTTGGGGCGGAAGGCTCGAGCGTGCGGTTCGTGGTCCCCCTCTGGGCCCCCTCTTGGGTCCGTCTTGGGGCCCTCTTGGGCCATCTTGGGCGCCTCTTGGGCCGTCTTGGGGCCCTCTTGGGCTGTCCTTGGGCCCTCTTGGAAGCTTCTTGGGCCGTCTTGGGGCGGTCTTGGGCGCCTCGTGGGCCGTCCTGTAACGTCGGAAAGCCCAAAAAGCAACTTTGTGGAAAATGTACGTTTTACGAAGGGAATGGGCCAATGTTTGCGTCTAGGGGCCCTCTTGGGACGCATGTTGGAGGCTTCTTGGGGCGTCTTGGGGGCGTCCTTGGACGTCTGGAGGCCATCTTCAGCATCTTGGAGCCCTCTTGGAGGCCTCTTGGAAGTTTCTTGGGCCGTCTTGGGCGCTTCTTGGGCCGTCTTGTCTGACTGGGGAGGCCTCCGGCAAGCCCCGACGAGCCTCCGGGCCCCCCGGGGCTCACATTTGTGGTCGGGGTCCCGGCCCCGGGCCCCCGGACCCGGTGCGCCGTTATATGTGTATGTGTATATATATGCATCGACGGTCTACAGTGGCACAGACGGGCTGTGGCGGGGCTCAAGGCCGACTGGTGGAAGCTGTAAATGACAAAAAAACAGTGCCCCAAACTCCTGCGATCCTGTTCTCTCTCCTGCCGCGTCTCCTGCTCCTGCCGCTGTCTTTCCTTCGTATCCCCCCCCCCACCTCCTGCCATCTCCCTTCCACCCCTCCCGCGTCTCCCGCCCCCCTCCCCCGCCTTCACTCTTCCCGCTTATGCCTCAGCTCAGGGCATGCGTGCGGCCCCCGAGCTGGACGACGATCTGGCACAGAAGGCTCCTCGGCCGCCACCCGAAGAAAACGGCATGCCTGGATGCAGTAGGCTCGCGCCGTGTCGACGTCGGCTGTGGCTTCCGACGCCGTGCGGAACGGATCGTTTAGCCTCGCACGATGACGGCTTTCCGAAAGCGTCGGTCGTTCGATATCAGCCGATTCCATGCCATTAGCGGCGTTCAGCCTGGAACGCCCATGCTGGGGCCGCCGCCGCATCAACGCGGCGCTAACCTCCTATTTGGCTCGCTTCAAGCATCCCGGATCCGAACGCGCTTGCACCTCTCTGAAAAAAAATGGCTACTTCCGCCGGCGGAGTAGAGGTCAAGCTCTTGACCCCTCGAAGGTGGGGTCCAATCCAAGTCGTGCAGTGCGTTTACGCTGGGGCTCGCTTCAGGGGGAGCGGGAGGATGAGCGGGAGGGGAAGAGGGGAGGAGGAGTAGGAGGAGAAAGAGGAACAGGAGGAAGATGAGGAGGAGAGGTCGAGCGTGTCCCAAGAGGGAACGCACAGTCCGATATGACTCGGAGAATCCGCATTCCGCCATGCGGGAGATGAGAGACAAGGAACCATCATACATAAAGGGAGGTGAAACCGCAGAAGAGGAATTCCGCACAAGCCCCCCACTCAGCAGACGACGAAGAGGCCCTCGAGCTCGCAAAACTGGACAGGAAAGCCACGCAGGTGTTGCCGCCAGCCGGCGACTGCGCAGGACGGCGACGTACACCCCACGAGGAGAAGATGGACCCTGATCGACATCTTGCTCTGGAGGGACGTCGCCCCAAGGGACAACATTCCCGAAGAGGTGCGTCATCAACACTCCATGTAGTTCCTCCGTCTCCATGCGCTCAGCGATCTGGCCGAAGCAGTCGTAGTTGACCGGGCTCGCAGCAAGGTCGATCCGACGGGGGCCAAGAGCAGCTTCTTCACGGGGCTGCAGTTTCGTCCCGCTCGCGGCTGCTGTTCCCAAAGCGGCCTTATGCCCGTCAGGCTTCCCATCGGGGCGCAAGAACATGCAACCGGTACGGCGGCACTCTCTCCCATAGCGACAAACAAGAGGCGCCGATGAGCGCCCTGGAGCGCTTCCACACGGACCAGAGGTGGGGCGACGAACGGGCCTCCTTTCCTTTCCGCCGCTCCCGCAGTCGCTGTTTCCTTTTCTGAGGAGATGCACCAGCTGCTCCTCGACGGCCTTGAGGCGAGCGTCGACCCCCACACGCGTGTGCTCGGCAACTTTCCCGAGCTCCTCACGCTCTCTCCCGAGTTGCTCCATGACTGGGTCGAGGGCGCTGGCCACCTGCGACGGTCTCTTCTCCACAACGGTGGACTTGAGGGCTTCCTTGACCATCTGAGGGGCCACGTAGAGGATCTCCTTTGACCTCTGCCCAACCTTGACGTCCACTTGGGCGGGGGCCTCGGCAAACAGGGACTGCAGCTGCCGCGCATCAGCCTGCAGGGCAGAGACGTCGCCACGCACGCTCTCAGATTCCAACGCCCCCCAACGACGACTGAGACTCCGCAGCCGAAACCTCCAGGTTCATGTCCGCTGAACATGGCAGCCTCTCGCCAATATTCTCCAGCAAACACTTGAGGCGAACAATCGTGGCATGCTGAGATGCAACCAAGCCAGGATACGCGAGAAATTGTGAGTCGCACGTAGATTGAGCAGACGCCAGAACTTCTGGGAAAGACCATACGGCTTGATACGAAGCCGGCAATGCAGCAGCAGAGGCATCTTCATCCCGTAACGGCATGTGCGACACACATACAGCGGCCGTCGGGTCCAGATCAGCAGCATGTGGACGCTGGTGGAAGCGAGGGACCATCACAGACGAAATGACATGAATAACGTGCTCAATCGGATTAGCGCCGACAGCCACAGCAATGGAATCTGCAACACTCTGCTGTGTGACGTGTTCGCAAAAATTGTAGGCGAAATCTAGATTGATGAACTGATTGCGAAGATTGGGGGTCAGGCTTGGCGAAATACGGGCCAGCGCTGGCAAACCTTGGAAATGCACCCTTTGTTTGCGAGCCCAGCCGCGCAGAAGCCGAGAGCGAAATGGTGAGACTGCCTCGCGGGTATCCATCGGCGGCGACATCAGAAAAACATGGGGCAATGCAGCTAAATCCGCTTGGGTCACACTGGCTTGAGCCAAAATGGCTACGGAGAGGGAGGAGGAGAGAGGAGGGGGAGGAAAGGGAGGAGGCGGCGGAGGAGGAGGAGGGGAGGAGGCGGAGGAGGAAAACCAGTGTAAACCCAAGACGCATCAACGATGTTGCAATACACCCTCCCTCAGACTTCCCTTTTCATAGGTCCCTACGAGACACGAGGTCTCTGAGCGAGAAGGGGCGGAAAGGAGGAGGAGGACAGAGGCTCACAAGGGGGCGACGGAGGGGGGATGGGTCCCCTGCTAGACTTGCTGTGCTATCTACTGCTGCTATTTCAGGCGCTCGGCGGCTCTTCTACTTGCCTCGTAACGCATGGGCGAACCCTCCTATTGCCTTGCCTGGCATCGTCGTCATGCCCGCCGCCCGCATGGAGAGTGCCAGGGGCCTGGCGACCGCCGCGTGCGTGAACTTCGCGCTGCAGTCCAGCTCGAGCGGGTGCGCCCTGACGGCATCCAGCTCGTCCTCCTCCACCAGACTCCTGCCCGCTGGCCAGTGGCCCTCGACCGCGACGTTGATCCTGCACATCGGCTGCGACCCCGCCTTCACGTGGTAGCCGCTCACGCGGCGCCAAAGGCAGAAATCCTCCATTTCCGGCGGCTTGCTGTCTTCTGCTGCTAGCTTGTGGAGCCAGCCGGCGACCCTGCGCGGCGCGCGAATCTCCTCGGGCTTGCCTTTTACGTTGGCATCCTTGACGGACTCGAGCGTGCTGGCGAACGCGTGCAGGTGTGGGCTGCCTAGCTGGCGTCCGCTGCTTTGTGTTTTTTCTTCCTCGGCGTGGAGAGGTTGCCGCCGCCGCGCTCATCGGCGCAGGGTGGCAAGCTGGGGACTTGAAGTGCGCGTCGTTGGCTTCTCTCTCCTTCGTCCTTCGCCTCGGGCTGAAAGGTCATCTTCTTCTCCGAGCGGGTGGTGTCCGACTTCCCCTTCCTGCCGCGCGCGTGTCCCACCGCGCTCTGGGGCTCGATGTCCCGCGCTGCCTTCAACCAGCTCGACGTCGAAGGTAGGAGCGTGTGCGCCCCGAGGCTTGCCCTGGTGCCCTCGAACAAGTTGCGGATCTGACACAGCGGGCGCCGAGGCAACAGAAGCTCCAGAGAGTGCGTCGACTGCTCTCGCGCTCCACGCGCGCAGGGTTTATGCGTGCTGAAATCGGCCGTGGGCCTTTCACTTTCAGTGGCTGCGGCAAGGTGGCGTTGCGCCGTCTCTCTCTGCCCGCGAATGCGCCATGGCAGGGCAGGCAGTAATCCCGCCAGCCCCCTGGGCGCAGGTGGTCTAGAGCGTTTCCTTTTCCAGCCTCCTGCCTTCCCCTGCTCGGGAGGGTTGCCTCCCCCCCCCGCCCTGCGTCTGGACGGGCCCCCCCGCGATGTGGCAGAGGGTCTTTTTTGGTCCAAGATGGCTCCAAGAGGGCCTCAGAGAACCCAAGATGGCCTCCAAGATGGCCCAAGATACCTCAAATTGGCTCAAGATAGCCTCCGGCACGCATCCAAGAGGCTCCAAGTTGGCTCCAAGACGGTTTCAAATGCCCTCCGAGGCCTCCATGGACTCACCCCAAAGCTCCCAAACCTAAGGGAAATCAGTGTTTTTGGCCTTGGCGCCTTTTCGCTTCCGATGGGCTCTAGAGGCCTCAAAATGGCCCCAAGACGGTCCAAGATAGCCCCAAGAGGGATCCAAAACGGCCCCGAAACGGCCCCAGGAGCGCCCAAGAGCGCTTCAAAAGCGGGTCAAAGGGGACCCTGGGGCGGCATTTTTGAGCCTCCGATGGGGGGTGGGGTCCGAACTAAGGACCCTCATATTTTTTAGCGAAAGGGTCCGGGACGGCCCCAAGAGGCCCCTCAGGCATCGCAAAAAAAAACAACCCCAAGAAAGAGCTCCAGGAGGGCTCCAAGAGGGCCCCAGGGGAGCCCCAAGATGGCTCCAACTTTCGACACGCACGCGAGTTTAAGATATACATCGGTGCAACAGCCATTACGAGGCATCGAAGCACCCCTCGCCCCTCATCGAAACACCATCGTAGCTTGCACCGGCTTCCATCTTAAACTTCAATGCGGGCAGCTCTGTGTGATCCTTGTGCTCCCGAAGACGGCTGCGCGACTGCATGCGTCCTGCCGCCCCTGATTCATAAACTCCCCTGCTGATCGTTTCTGGATGGGCTGGCGGGGACTTTTTTTGCGTCGCGGCCGCAGGCGAGAACGCCAGCGGCGAGTAAGGTCCGAGCGGGCCACGCACGAGCCGAATTGCCTAACGCTGACGGGCCGGCGACCTAAGCAGCACCTAAGCGGGGCTGGCGGGGATACTTTTTTTTTTGTTACAGCCGCAGGCGGAAGCGCCGGCGGCGGGCAGTCGCGGTCGGGCTGCGGCCGCGACTAAATTGCCGGGCGCGCGCGGGGGCCGCGGATCAGGCGGCGGGGGGGAGCAGCAACCCAGGGCGTCTGAGAGGCCAGGCGAACGTGCAACCCAGGGAGTCTGAAAGGACAGCCACCTGAGTGGTCGTGCAAGCTGCGACCCAGGGAGTCTGAGAGGACAGCCCTCAGGGCGAGCCAGGCGCAGCCAAAATGGCGCGCAGTAAGTGCCGATGCGATCGTGTCGAGCCGACCGCATGGCAGGGAACGGGGCTGGCGGGGGTATGCGAAGCGTCAAGAATTAGAAAGAGTCGAAACATAAAGCTCGCGACCGGTAGCGCAGGCAGGCTCTAGCAGGGGGCCTCTTCCAATGCCTACCCTAGCACAGATTCTATTCATGTGTGCTGCGGGGGCCTTCCACTTCGTGGAACTGTCACCGCAAACCGCGCGAAATCCCCCGGGGTGGCCTCCCGGGGGGGGGCAGCGGACATTTCAACCTGGACCCTGGTGTCTGGAACTCCCCCCCCTTCCCGCTGAAGCCCCAGCCCTCCTCCTCGATGTGAGCGGTAGTGCAAGTCCGGGATGGCTCGTACTCGTGGTGCGTCGCCTGGTGCTGACCATCTGGGCCGTGCCCTCCACGACGGAAGTTTCTTGCACGCTTTTCTCAACTTCTCCACCGTGCGCAGTGTGTCCTCGCGCGCGCTGTAATAGTCCCTCACCGCGTCGCTCTCGTCCAGGTTGAGCCCCGCTCCAGATGCGGCGGCTTGCGGTCTCCAGCTCGGTTGCATCCATCAGCGCCTTCCAAAGGCAGCCTACATAACTTAGTCGATTCGTCTTGCGCTTCGCCTGGGGCGAGGAGCCTAGCCTGGGCGCCTCTTTCCACTCCTGGCAACTCGAACTTGGATGCAACAGCCGTGTTTTTTTGCGTGCGTCGTAAACAACTTCTCACCCTCCAGGCATTCCATGATTCGTTAGCGCGTTTCCCGGTCAACAGCTTGATCAACTGCTTTGTGTATTGCTTCAGACATTTACTCAATCTGCATACCACTAGATTGCACTCCTCTGTGTAGTCAACTTCATCCTCCTTCGGCTGTCTCCTGGCCAACCAAAGCTCGTTCAACTTCTGACTGTGTGCCAGTGTGTCCTCGCGCTTGTTCAGCGTGCCCTGGAGTCTCCTTCGACTGCTCAGATGGTATTTCTTGAGCGATCTGCATGGTGCCTGCGTTGGGCAGGTCGAAATTCCCTTCGTACTCTCACTCCTCGAAGGTGTTGCGATGCTGCGCCGACGTCTCTCCCACTATTTCCACGCATATCCTCCGATCTGTGCCATGCAGCCAAACAACAGAACAACAGTCCACGCCTCCATGTTGTAGTGGGGCACCTGTGGCTTTTGATGATACCCACAGTGTGCCAAAACGACATGCAGATCGGAACGTGGTCCTTCGGCGTACAGCACCTGATGTGCTGGAGCTTTACCCCTCTTGTTCGGAGACACAAAGCACTCGTCTACGTTCTGTGCCACATGGCGTGGACAGGAACGATAATCTATTCCCTTCACCACTTTCGTGGGCATTCCATAACACGTAGCTCCTGCGTCAAAATACGTGTTGGCCAAAACCAAGTCGCGTGCTTGACGCGTTGATTTCAATACGCGAAATTTCGGTCCTTCAGCTGCCGCACCTATCGTGTCTGTCATTGGTGGACTCGGCGCACCGATGCCGCATTCTGAATGCAAATCCATCCCAATCAGTGGTAGACGCCGTGCTGGAAGACCGTTGAGAATATCCTGCAACCATGTCGTGAGCTCTGTCGAAACGGTTTTCTGCTCTGCCACCACGCCCTTCCCTTTGCCCCTTGGCGGGAATTACATAGGTCGAGAAGTGCGCGATGTCCTGCCGCCCCCGTTTGTCCATGAACGCTCTGCCTGCAACCGCTCTGTGCCCTCGACAACGCTCACGATGTTGGCTTCAGCAAAACGTCTTCTGTGAAACGCAACTGCCACTAAACACGAACGATTGCTCTGTCTGCCGAATCCTGAGCCCATGAAGGAGGAGGAGGAGGAGGAGGAGGCGGAGGAGGACGGAGGAGGGAGCGATGAGGTGTTCGCTGCTCGTCCCTGCAGCCCCTGCCGACGGGCCCCTCGTGGGGGAGGCCCAAGAGAGAAGACGCTGGCGGAGGTGGGCGGCGCGTGCCTGCGCAGCGGCCATCGCGCGAAGGGCCTGCGCCGCGAGCCACCCCCTCCTCGTCGTCGCCGTCGTTGCCGCCATCGCCGTCGCCGCCGCCGTCGTCGCCGTCGTCGTCGACGTCGTCGTCGTCGTCGTCACCGCCATCGCCGTCGCCATCGCCGTGGCGCCGCCGTCGACGTCGTCGTCGACATCGTCGTAATTGTGATCTTCGTCGTCGTCGTCGTGGTCGTTGTCGTGGTCACCGCCGCCGTCGCTGCTGCGGCCGCCGCAACCGTCGTCGTCGTCGTCGTCGTCGTCGTCGTCGTCGTCGTCGTCGTCGTCGTCGTCGTCGTCGTCGTCCTCGTCGTCCTCGTCATTGTTGTAATGATCTTCGTCGTCGTCTTCATTGTTGTCGTAATGATCTTCGCCGCAGTCGTCTTCTTGGCGTAGTGGTCTTCGTCGTCGGCGTCCCCCCCTCCTCCTCCTCCTCCTCCTCCTCCTCCTCCTCCTCTTCGTCCTCCCCTCCTCCTCCCCGTCACCGTCCCCGTCCCCTTCGTCGCCGTCGCCGTCGCCGTCGCCGTCGTCGGAGGAGGAGGAGAAGGACCAGCAGGAGGAGGGAGCCTCCGATGAGGTCCTAGGTGCTATAATGCCTCAGGGAGGCTTCGGGACGTGGGGCTCCACACGGGCTCCTGAGTGGGGGAGGGCTGTGCGGGCGAGGGGCAGAGGGAAGGCTAAGAGGGAGGAGTTGCCTCGCGATGGGGAAGGAGGCGGCGGAGGCCGAGGAGGAGGTAAAGAAAGGGAGGGCGAGGGATAAGGCGAGGAGAGGAGGAGCAGAGCGAGACAAGGCGCCACAGCCGTTCCGGAGCCTGCCTGACGATGGCAGGTGGCCTCTTGAGGCGCGGCGAGCTCAACAGCAGCCCTCCCCGCAAACCGCTCCCGGACGCCTGCCACAGGTAGCAGTACGTGTCTTGTCGGCGAACGCGAGCGACGAAGTGCCTGCTGGAGGGGCACTGGGCCACATGCGCCAGTGGGAACTCCAGATTTCGTAATAAAAGGGAGGGGGTCTGGACCCTCCAAGACAAGCCATTTCAGACCTCCCCCGTGGGAGAACCCTCCAAAACATCGTCCCCAGGCCCCCCCCCGAAATGAGACCCCCCCCCTGTATTACGAAATCTGGAGAACCGAGTCGGGGGCCGAGGCTGGGTGTCTCACGGCAGAGGGTCTCGCGCCGTGGACGGCGCTGGAGTTGAGAGAGCGCGCAGGCTCGTAGGGCGACAGGGCCTGGGTGGGTGGGAGGAGGGCGAGGAGGGCGAGGAGGGAGGTGAGAGGAGGAGGGAGGTTCGAGTAACAGACTCATCGTTACTGCGAAGGTTCTTCTGTGAAGAGGTAGCCAGCTCCACGCCTTCGCAAGTGCAGCATGCGTCAAACCAAGAAGGCTGGAGACGAGGACGACGAGAGCGAGCAGGAGGTGGAGGAAATGAAAGCGGATCTGCGACGCATGAATCGGTTGAGCAACTTTCTTGCGTGGTCTTTGAGCAGTCCAGAACTGACACCGATCGTCGCGTCCACTTGGAGGCCCATGTAATCTGTATAGCACCCCGCAATCGCGGACAAGAGTGAGGGGGCGGGCGCGGGGTGGATCGCAAGTGAGTCGCAGGTGGGTCGCGGGGTGAGTCGCGGGATGGGTCGCGGGAAGGATGACGACAACCACAACAACAAACAAACAACAAACAGGTAGATGTGAGCCGCGGAATCCCACTCCAAGACCGTCTAGCCCCCTTCACTCTGACAATCGAGTGAGTGTGTCCCTCTGGTGTTTACTACGTTGGTCCTCTGTGTCGCTCACACCACTCTACTTATGTCCTATCTCTTCTGTGATATTGCACCTCCTCCTGCGAGAACCCTTCCTTTCGCAACCGTCGTAGGCACGCACCGTCGAAGACAATCCACCACTGCACGCTGCCATCAATCCCATGGCCTCTTCTCGCAAGGTTGCACATTCACTTGTCGCTCGAGGTGTCTGGAGCAGAAAAGGACCACAGAAGAGTCCCACAACGGGAACGGGAAGCCCTAGATCGCCCGGTCTGGCAACCATGCGCCTGAGACCTCATCACAAACTGCTCAGGAATCGTGCTCTCGCCTCACTGCTAGATACAAATTTGGTCCGACGGCCACGATCCCTGGTGCAAAAACGCACTAAAGTGCGCATTGCCGTGTCTCGACCTCCAAGCCCTCTACTCGCCTCGTCACCTTGGCTGCTATCCATGTGCTTTGCTGGGATAATTCGGTTTTGGCGGTCCATTGTCGACAAACAAGCCGGCATAGCCACTCGAGCGACCGTGGGCACATCGGGAAAGAGGGCGGAAATGAAGAAGATGATGAGAAGGAATGGGCATTGGATGGGGAGGTGAAGATAAGGAGGAAAGGAAACAACGAGAAGTTGCCCGACTTGCCTCGCTTTCTCGATCTTACTCTTACATCATGCCAGCGGCACTGCTGCTGCGCAATATCGTTGGTAAGCCGATCTCGTCCAGTCCATTCCATCCCGCTCCAGAAGACGATATCCGTACCCAAGCTTCCTGGTACATGCAACTGCACGGCCATGCCTCGCTGCATGTGAACTGTGCACTGCACGCACCGATGCCCCCAATGGGCATGCTTGTTCGAACACGTACGCGCATGCCAAAGCATTGCAACAGTGATGCGCTGGCCAGAGTGGCGCGCGCGCGTGCTGCCTGGACGTCTCTGCAGTCATGCACGCACGCATGCACGCATTGGCGGATATGTGTGCTCGCATGCGCCCGCGCACATACATGTAAAGACATACACACATGACTCGCTTGAGACCCTGACGATGCGTGGGCCGACATGTGGGTACCTGAAGCAGCCTGCACGGATGGCGGGCGATTCCTTTTCGAACGTGCCTCTCGCCTCCTTTAAAAATGGAAGCCTCGCTTGAGGCACACTTTGGCATTTTGTGAAGTTTGGCCTAGACGGATGAGATGGGCAACGCATTTCCCCAACGGGCTTCGAGCCTGAATGGCAAGCACATGTGGCGCTCGTCTATGCCAAGTGGCCATCCCCGTGATGACAAGGTGTCCTTGCAAGGACTTCTGATGAAGGGACTTGGAACGGGATGATGATTGCATTCCGCCCCAATGGTCTTCCCACTCCTCACCGCCGAACCCAAGGAGGAGGGAGAAAAAGAGGAGCAGGAGGACGGACTGCCCGGCAAGGGCCGAGCGCGGTAGAACTAATCTGGGATAAACAAAAGGAGAGGAGGATGGGGATGAAAAGGGCGGCACGGACGAGAAGGAGACACGAAAAAGGGAAACGAGGGTGAGAACGGGCATGCACGAGGAGGAGGAGGAGGAGGAGGAGGAGGAGGAGGAGGAGGAGGAGGAGGGGAACGAGGAGGAAGAGGAGGAGGAGGATGATGATGAGGAGGAGGAGGAGGAGTAGGAGGGGGAGGATGAGGAGAAGAGGATAATTTCGATGGGTAGGACGGCTGATGCTGATGATGAGGTGAGAAAAACAAAGAGGAGAGATACGTTATATTGGCCCACCGAGGGGGCGAAGTCGTGTCTCTGGACACGCCGCGGCCCTTGTTACCAAGCCCGTGCACGACTCTAAACCGCCTTGCTTTGGAGGGCTCGAGGGACTTGATGGGATTCCCAGAGGGCCACAACTTGACCAAATAATTCGGTGGCTGTCAGTTCTGAATACTACGCAACGCCGCCTTACCACTGTCGGTGCCCAAGCCACCTGGACAGAGGACGAGGAGTTGGTAGAGCTTGCCATTTCCTGTCGCAGTGCAGCTCCCCAATCGAGCACACCTCGAGCACCACATCTGTTCATTCATCACATGCAGCGAATGAGACGGGTGACCACCTCACCCCCGACATTTAAGAAGGGATCGGCGGCAGGTGGAACGGGGAAGGGCACGTTATACTCAGAAACGAACGATCTTCCTCTACACGGACTGCTTTGCATCCAGCTTTCGACCGAATATCGAGCGGGCCCTAGTTTACAATGGAAATAGAACCAGCGTTTCTTGTCCCTCGGATGCTGCAATATGCAATGGCCCGTCACGCGCTCGAGCCATCGCCGAACCGCGGCTATCTTCGCGGGCCTTCTGGATGGGACAGGTCGCTAGTGCTTGACCCTAGGCATCGGATTCGTTTCAATCGCAATAGCCGTTAGACGCTTATGGACCGGCTGTAGGAGGGCATCATTAAACTTCAGGGCTATATAACGTTTAAAGCTTTTGCAAGGCTTCTCTGGGCCAGGGCATCAGCTCTTATATTTCCAAAGGGTGCCAATGCTGGGAGGCTACACGGAGACTCACTGCGTCTAGGTGGGAGTTGCATTTCTTCACGCTGACGTTGGAATCATATCGGGCCTCTGGAGGATTGCCTGCTTGACCCGCAGACACCATTGTTGATGTGGGCCTCGAGGATCGAACAAGTGCCTAGATACCCACCCAGGATATACCAGGGCATTGTCCGTCCAGATCTTCAGAAGCCCTTGGGAAAAGAGGATGCAATGGTACAGCGCAGCAAGCACCGAAGACGGGGCGGTCTGGGCGCCATCGATCGAGCCGAATAGTCCTGGAAACCAAGAGCAGGAGTGGTGCGAGGAACAAGGGTGCACCGTGCACCGAGAAGTCCTCCTCCCGCACGCCGCGCCGGAGAGCCCAGGGGCGCGGATGGACCTCGTCGTCCACGCCCCGCGCCTCGCTGAACCGCTCATGGTCGGCCTGGCTCAAGACGCGCTCGCACTCGGGGCTGCGCGGCGGGGCGGCGCGGCAGCGGCGGCTGCGGCGCGGCGAAAGCGGGCCCGCTACCCCAGGGTGGCTGTGGTGCCATTCGCGGTGGAGGACCACGGCCGCCTGGGGGAGGAGGCGCTGGCCTTGACGAGGCTGCTAGCGCCTGCCGAAGACATGGCTCGCTCCGCGGCCATCCGGCGACTGCACCAGTCGCTCGGGTGCGTCCTCCAGCGGAACGCCGCCGACGCGGTGCTGGGCCGCCAGCGCCAGGCGCGGAACCGCAACAGGGGGCTAGACTGCCGCGCGCCGCGCGCTAGGCAGCCGAGGGGCAACGCTGACTGCTTGACTGCGAGCGCCGCGCCGCTGCTACGCCCGGCCAGCGACTGGGCCGCGGGCACTGCGACGCTGCCGGGGCGGGGGCTGCCGGCGGCGCTGGCGGCCAGCGGAACACTGGGGCACAGGGCGCGAGCCGCTGGGCGGACCCTGGGCGCGGAACTGGCGGCGCGGGAGCTGCTGCTGCTGCTGCTGCTGCTGCTGCTGCTGCTGCTGCTGCTGCTGCTGCTGCTGCTGCTGCTGCTGCGGCGAAGCCGGCTGCTGCGGGGGGCGCGGGCTGCGGCGCGCGCAGGGCACTGGCCACTGCCCAGAGCGCGGGCGGCGGGGCGACTGGCTGGCGGCGCGGCGCGGGCCAGCCGGGCATGGGGAGCAGGGCTACCTCGTCCTCGCGGGACCCGCCGAGTTCCTGTGTAACGGAGTTTAGAGGCCCCGGCCGGCAGACCCCTCCCCCGTGGGAGTGGCCGCTGTCTCAGACAGCCGGCCACCCCCGGGGGAGCCGATCCTGGCTACGGAGGAGTCTGCCGGCTCCCGCCCACAGAGCACCGGCCGCGCGGGGAAGACTCGCGGCCGCCTGGAGGAGGATGAGGGGGTAGGAGGAGGAGGAGGAGGAAGAGGAGGAGGATGAGGGGGTAGGAGGAGGAGGAGGAGGAGGAGGAGGAGGAGGAGGAGGAGGAGGAGGAGGAGGAAGGAGGCGGAGGAGGGAGGCGGAGGAGAGACGAGGAGGCACGATGAAGGAGGATGTGGAGGGCGGAAGGCGCCCAGGAGAGGCGTGCGGGCACCCGTGCCTGTAGCCCCTCTCGGCGATGGCCCGTGCCTCCGCTTGGTGGGACTCCAGCCACTGGACCTCGTGGCGGGTGTGCGCGAGCAGAGGCGCGGGCAGAGGAAGACGCCAGAGTTCGGGTGGCCCCTGGGCCCGCCGCTCCCAGAGAATGCTCACGACGATCGAGGGCAGAAGATCTTGCACGGTTCACGCTCTCTCTTTGGTTTCCGGAGGTCTGTGTAGGCCACCCAGGACTTGGATCTCAAGTGGCACCGAAACGTACCAGCTGCCGCTTCTCCGAGATCTCCCCTTCTCTACTCCTCCCACCTTCCTCCCCCCCATGCTGCTTCTCGCTGCAGTTACATGCTCGTCAGGAATACCACTATCCCTTCTCCCCCTGACAGCGGCCAAGGTTTGGCCTCCCCTTCGCGCGTTGCTTTGCACAATCGGGGCGTCTTTGCATGTCTCTGGGGGGGGGCGCCCGCCACCGCTCATGGGTACTCTGCGCCGCGGCTCGCCGCGGCATTCCGCCCTTCGCGCGCCTCGCAGGGGCATGTCGTTGGAGCCGCCGCTGGGGGGGGGCCCTTCTGTTTTGCCATGGCGGTAATGCCTCAGAACATCATCTTGCTCCTCGGTCGTCGTCGTCGTCGTCGTCGTCGTCGTCGTCGTCGTCGTCGTCGTCGTCGTCGTCGTCGTCGTCGTCGTCGTAGTTGTCGTCGTCGTCGTCGTCGTCGTCGTCGTCTTCCTCCTCCTCTTCCTCCTCCTCCTCCTCCTCCTCCTCCTCCTCCTTCTTTTCCTCCTCATCACGTCTTTTGCTCCGAGCGTGCGGCATTGTCTGCTTTATCCTGACTTTCCGCACCCGGGACGGCCTCGACCGCTCCAGACTCGACGCTCCCGCCCCAACGCCTGCTGGTCTCCTGCCCTTCCGCAGAAGAGACCCGCACACCACAATCGAACCTGGCCAGTGTCAGCCTTCCTGGTGTTGCCAGAGGTGGTCCTGCCCGTGCTGTCCCAAACTCGTCGCACCATTATGGGGACCCTAGGGAGCCCCTGGGATTCGTGAGATGCGCTCTGGAGGCCGTCCGGGCACCCAAGGAATCCTCGGGGCACCCTGGGCCACGGGCACTGCTGCCAGCTGCAGGGTGGCGCACGTGTAGTATACACCCTCTCCCTGGTCTGGGCCATGAGGGTCTGTGCGTATCCCACTCCAGGGCGCAGGATGGCCCTGGTCGGGCATGGTTGTGCCCCGCGCCTCGCACTTGCAAGCTTGCCGGCGAAGGATCGCAACTTCAGTAACGTGGAGTCGGTGAAATGCCCGGCGTGGTGTGCTTTTCAGAGAACGTGGGCCCGCAGAGGTCTGGACCTCCTCCCCAGAGCCGGGCGTTCGCCCCGATCTGATTCTGACGGCCTCGCGGCCCGAGGTGGAGCGGAGGAACAAAGGAAGAGGAGGGGAAATGTGGAGAAGGAAAAGGAGAAAGAAGTGGAGGGGGAGGAAGAGGAGGGACTATAAGTGCAGGGGTTGGAGGGCGGTAAGAAGAAAACATGAGACATGTCGGACTTTGTAAAACCATATCACCGCTAGCGCCCCCCGCCAACCAGCAACCGGGCATCCTATTCGAGTCGGGATTGTGCGGGCCATCGAACCGCTCTGGTTGAGCGAAGGAAGCGAGAAAAAGGATAGCCAGAGCTGTCCACCCCCGCGCACCACCCCAATCTGCACAATATTCAGCATGCCGAGCTGCCACCTGGGGCGCGCGAGCGCGGCGCGGGGGTGGCGGAGTGCGTAATCACCGACTGTATTCAGCGGGCACGCTCGTGCTCTCAAGAGAAGCACGCAACAGCTCGTCTGACTGGGTGTGAGGCATGCTGCCGTGCGCCGCGTCTGTGTGTACGTGGGGGCCGTGCGTTGTGGTCGAGGCAACCGAATGACGAGCGACGCTCGACGTGTGGATGACGCGCGGCCTGTAAGCTTCGTGAGGTGAGGATGTGTCTTCTCCACCAGCGTCGCCGCACATGGACGCGAGGTGGCCGCGGCTCGTGGCCGCGCGGCTCACGCGGCTCGGGCCCGCGGCGGTGCTGTCCGAGGCGGCTCCTCCGCAACCTCGGAGAGCGGGATGTCCTCCTCGTTGTCCTTATCCTCGTTGGCGTCGGTGGCCTTGTGTCGTCGCTCTCCTCGCTGGCATCGGCGGTCTTGTCCGACTTCGCTCTGGCTGCTGCCGCCTGCTTCGCGCCCCGCGACCGCTTGCTCTTGAGGCTACCGCGGTGCGTCTTCTTGGGGGCCCTTGCGGGCTCTGGGTGAATTGCCGTGAGGTTTGCAGGGCAGCCGGAAGCACAGGGTGTTCAGGGAATGGAGGGTGGCACCACTGCAGAGGGTGAGGGAAGTGTGAACGTGCGCCCACATCGCACTCTGCGCGTCTCCCGTGGATCGCAAGCTGGGATCGCTCCTGGCTCCGCTGCTAACTATAATTGCAGGGGTTGGATGGCGGTAAGGAGAAAGCATGAACAAACAGACCGAACCTTTTGCCATATCAGATGCGTTCGCATCGGCGGTTCCGGCCAACTGGTAACGGGACATCGTATCCGAATGAAGGAAAAGAAAGAGGAGGAAGAGTAGGATGAGGAGGACGAGGAGAAGGAGGAGGAGAAGGAGAAGGAGGAGAAGGAGGAGCAGGAGAACAAGGGGGAGGAGCAGGAGAAGGAGGAGGAGGAGGAGGAGGAGGAGGAGGACAGTGAGTCCAGCGTGAGGGCCCCCAGAGATCGAAAGTCGTCAAGCACCCAGAAGTGCTTCTGCCTCACGGCGGGAGGTCTGGGTGCACAGGTGCCTCCCGCGTGGCAGCATCTGCGCCAATGGCGGCACGCCAGGGCGCGCACCTACCGAGACAACTGCCTGACTCGCTGGGCGCCGACGGCTGCGCACCTCGCCAAAGACGGCTCGTTAGAAGAAGATCAGCGAAAGCCCGGGGGGAAGCGGGGAGGGTGTGGGCCTTTTCAGGAGGCGCGGAAGGCCAGCCGAGGAGTTCTCGGAGCCTCCCCCGGAGGCGCAGGGCCCTCTTTTTGTCCCAGAGGCGCGGGGGGTTCTGAGGTGTCCCGCCGCCTTCTGAGAATCGGAGACTTGGGCGTGCGTGCGCTAACATGGAGTAGGGATCGATGGATCTGGAGTGGGCGCAAGATCCGCAGATCTGGGCAAGCTCCACGATCGGAAGGGCGGCGCCGGAGGCACCGCCTTCGGGGGGGAGGCGTCGCCGATCCAAGGAATCCGCCTGGACCTTCGAAAGTGCACGTTTATGCAATGCTCTGTTCGACGATCGTGGCCTCTCCCTGATCCTCGATCCCCGAGCCTCGACCCTCCCTGCCCCTCCTCGAGCCTCGATCTTCGAGCCTCGAGCCTCGATCCTCGATCTCCGATTCCCGATCCTCGAGCCACGATCCCCGATGCCGGAGCCTCGATCCACGATTCCCGATCCTCGCGCCTCGATCCTCGACACTCGTGGCTCCCGGCCGCCTCCTCAATCCCCGATGCCCGACCTCCGAGCCTCGATCCCCGATCCTCGGCCCTCGGCCCCCGATCCTCAATCCCGATTCTCTATCCTCAGGCCTCGATCCTCGACCTTCCTGGACCCCTCCCTCGAGAATCGAGCTTCGACCTGAGGAGTGTGCAAGGGTCGAAGCGGAGGAGGGAGGGCGAGGAGGAGGAGGAGGAGGAGGAGGAGGGGGAGGAGGAGGAGGAGGAGGAGGAGGAGGAGGAGGAGGAGGAAGAGGAGGAGGCTAAGGAGGAGCGAGGAAGTAGTGAGGGGTGCAGCGAAATGTGTTCGGCCATTTCTGGGCGCCCCGAGCCTCGATCCCCTCGGCACCACCCCCGAGGGGGCGCGCGCCGCGCGCATGCCGTCAGCGTGTGCGTGCGCGCGCATGCGGGCCTTCGCGACGAGGTCGGAGAGCCCCGAGCTCACAGGCACGAAGTGCTCCCAAGGCGTAAGCCTCGGCGGGAGTCGCCTCGCCGCCGCCGCTGCCGTCGCCGTCTTCGTCGTCGTCCTCCTCATCCTCCGCGTCCTCCTCATCGTCGTTGTCGTCGCCGCTGTTCGGGTCGGGCGAAAGGGGGGGATACCAAAGGGGGGGTTTGAGAATCAGCTCACGTAGCTGATTTTCCAGGCGCCTCCTGGCGCCGGAGGCGGCTATATATCGAGGAATGGGCCCCTCGGCGAGGCCGAAACCAGCTGCATGCAGCAAATTTCGTATACACCCCCCCCCCCTTCCCAATCCCCCCCCTTCGCCCGGCCCGAGCTGTCGTCGTCGTCCTCCTTCTCGTCGTCGTCGTCAGCGTCCTCCTGCTGTGGTTCGGGCTCCGCCCCATCTCCATGCGCGAGGCGACCAATGGGGGCCGGGCGCGCGAGGGGCGCCGGGGCGAAGGCGGGAGGGCACCAGGGTACTGGGGCCCGCGGGGGAGGAGCTCCTCGGGCCCCTCCTCCTCCTCGTCCTCGCCCTGTTCCATCCTGCGACTCCTCCTCCCCCTCCTCCTCCTCCCTCCTCCTCCTCCTCCTCCTCCTCCTCCTCCTCCCTCCTCCTCCTCCTCCTCCTCCTCCTCCTCCTCCTCCTCTTCCTCCTCCTCCTCCCTCCTCCTCCTTCTGACCCCTCGTCCTCGTCCTTCTCCTCCTCCTCCTCCTCCTCCTCCTCCTCCTCCTCCTTCTCCTCCTCCTCCTCCCCGTCCTGCTCCTCCACGTCCTCCTGCTCCCTCAGAAGGGGGCGAGGAAAGGAACAGATGAGGATGAGGATGACTGACAGGAGGATGGTTGAGAGCGAGGAGGATCCTGAGAACGAAGCGGAGGGATGACGAGAGGGACGACGAGATGAACGGGAGGAGGGCGATGAGGAAGAATACGAGGTGGCAGCGGAGAATGAGGGGCCGAGGAGGGGGCAGATGAGGACGAGAAGGCGGCCCATGGGCGAGCAGGAGGAGCACGCAGAAGCTGGACCGTCGAGGGGGCGGCCACTCGTAGATGAGCTCCCGCGACGAGTCCTCCGCTGCGCCCGGAGCGAGGCGATGGGGGCCGACGGGCCGTCCGTCCCCTCCTCCAGCCAAATGAGGCCCGTCCTGACCTAATCAAACCTCGACCTCGACCCCGACCCTGACCCCGACCTCGACCCCGACCCCGACCCCGACCTCGACCTCGACCTCGACCTCGACCTCGACCTCCTCCTCCTCCTCCTCCTCCTCCTCCTCCTCATGCTCTTAGCTGCCATCTGGGCTTAAGAGATTGTCAGGGCAGCCCAGGAAGCGACCATGCCATTACTCAGATCGTGTTGATACGAGGAAGGGCGACGGCCCGCCCGCATGATGGCAACACTGATGGCTTCTCTCGCGGTTCTTCTCTTCAACCCACTCTCGGCCAAGGCAGATCGGTAGGCGGATATAGTTCAGGAGATTTCCAACTTCGACATGCTCATCCTGCCAGGAACGGGGAGACGACGCCGAGACGAGGCGGTCACACAACATAAGAAGGACGGCGACACCAGATACTATGACGCGGGATGGCAACCAGGCGAACTCACCAACAAGAGCACGGGGATCATCATCGCGATGCAGGGCAGGCTGCGCGGCGCGGAGATCGTGGACATCACCGAGCCGCTACCGCCACTACGAGGACGCGGGCTGGCCCTCACGATCCAACACCACCACCAGCTCATTCTGGCGATCGGTTACTACTTCCCACCGCAACCCACCAAGGGCAAGCAGGCGCGCAAGACGTACTACGCCACGGTGGGCAGGCGATATCAATGGCTGGACGAGACGGTCACCAACCGCGCGCGCAACAGCCTCGTGATCACGGCCGGGGACTTGGACGACGGGATCGGCATAACACAACGGGGACACCGACCATAATCACAGGCAGTAGGACCAGGACGCTCGATCGAGCGTCTACCAGAAGGAGCAGGGCAGCGAGCACGCATCTTCGCCAAGAAACACGCGCTGGTCATCACCAACACAACGGATACAGGGCAACCCACCTACTTTGGCGAGCACACGACAAGCTGCATCGACTACATCATGGTCCCGCAGGAGCTCGTCCCGACAATGACCTCACAAGAACCACTTCTACGCCTGGGCGCACGACTCCAACACATCCCGCGCAGAGCGAGACGCGACCACGCGCCAGCGCAGACCACATTCCGACTCCCAGTGCAGCGCCGACACCGACGACAGGAAGCACCACTTCGCTGAGACAAGGACCGACTGGCGCAAGGAGCACGACGAGAACTACACCGCAACGACTTCATCGGAGACCTGGAGGCACAACTGGAAGAATACAACCCAGAGGGCAAAGGAGTCGATCGACTGCTCCTGGAGCTGAATCAGATGATCATCCAGTCCGCGCAGCAATACCACGGCGCAACCCCACCGGCTACAACACCATACGCCGAACTACGACGACAACGCATGCAACTACTACAAGAACGCAGGGACGGCAAAGACCGGCTCCACGCACTAGCAGCTACCGCTACGAACCACGAGACCAGCGAGGATACCACTATCGAGGCTAACCGCCCTATTGACTCCGACTCGTCGTCACACCCCCAGGGCGCGGATGGCCTCGAAACGGATCGGAACGCTCCAGGGACGGTGAGTGACCAGGGACAGACCGAACGCAACAACCCGTACGCCGAAGATACTAGTCAGATGATCACACCGCTGGAACGACAGCTGCGCGAAATCGAATCTGCATTACGAGAGATCGCGACGCCGTGCAAGGGCATGCGCAAGACAGAGTACTAGCAGCGCAACGATAGCAGGGTCGAGGAATTGTTCGAGGCATGGGAACAGCGTGACCTGGCACGAGCAGGACAACTCTCGCGCCTCGTGGCGGGCGGCCGCTACCGGACCCAGGAAGCGCGACCACTGGCCGGCGACGACGGCACGACCAGCACGAGAAGACTGGCTCGAATTCTGGAAGCGGCCAGGAGGCGAAGGAGGCAAGGACGGCACCGAGCAGCACATCAACGCGATCGAGGACATACCGCACTACGCGGAAGAGAACGACGACTACTGCGAGGAGGACCTAGTCGAGACAGTCGAGCAGGACTACGACGACATCGCCAAGCGCCTCAAAAAGGCGAGACTGAGGAGGGCGGCACCACCGACAACAGCACCGACGGAACTATGGAGGATGCTATTCAACCCACCAGACGACGCAGAACCACCAACAGCACGACTAGGACTCGGAATGCCGAGACAGCGGGAGGAGGCACACAACTTCGACACACTCAGAAAGGCGGCGTTGGCGGCCATCATAATCAGCAACAAGACTCCAGCGAGATGGCATCATAGCACAGCGACGGCAGTCCGCAAGAACATGAAGAACGGCCCCGCGGGAAAAGGATCTACCATATCATGGACCCGATCGGCAAGGCCTACTACGCGGCGGGACTTCACAGACGGAACGCCACCGCCCACACGGACCAGGACTGCGGCTTCATCAGAGGACGTCGACGCGAAGGAGCCCTCCTGGCCATGGCGGTGACCGAGTACGGGCTTGACACGCAGGATACAACCATGCCTTCACGATGAAGGCCATGTCGAACGCGTTCGCGAGCTGCAACTGGATGACGATGGACGCAGCGAATAACAAGATCATGCCAGAGGACCTGTGGGACATAGGCGGACAACGGTACCGCAAAGCGACTTTCAGCATTCCGTGCAAGGACGACGAGAACGGGGTCTGCATCAAACCGCACTGCGGAAGGCTCATCGGGAACCCCTACATGGTGAAGAACTTCATGGCCAAATTCAGCTCGTGCACCAAGCGCTGGACCGGCGACTGCAACGCCGTGCTCGCCCACGACGAGAAGCTGTACGGCACCAACGAGCTTTTCCAGCACCCAGTCTTCGTGGGCCGCTGACGACTTGAGAAAGCTCATCCTGAGCAGCAAGGAGGTGGGCGCAGCCAACTTCGCCCTCCAAGCACGCGCAGTAGACACGACACTGAGCGACAGATCGAGGGAAATCGGGCTACGCCAGAACCAGAGCAAGCAGGATACCATCGTCCACTTCCAGGGCGCAGGGAAGACGAGAACTCACCAGACCGTAAAGAAGGACCAACACCACGAGATGCCAGGCACAGTGAAGGACGCGGCGAGGTACCTGGGACCACACGTGACGGCGACGCAAAGCTACCACCACGAGTTGCAGAAGAGAGTCCAGGCGATGAAGAAGAGCTACTACGAGTGCGGCGGTTTCTGGACGAAGAAGAGCATCCCCTACCGATGGAAGCGGGCAATATTGACCTGAGGGGTCATCAACACGGGACTGTCTTGCATCGAGTGCTTCGTGCCGACGCGCATCGAGTGCGCCACGCTGCAGAGCACTATAGGCGCGCTATTGCGCCGAGCCATGATGGGGCGAACGACGACTTACAGGCTAGATGGATCCATCCGCAGCATGACGACGCTTGAGATCTTTCGCTTCTGGCAAATATTGCCGCCAACGGAAGAAGCTCTGGTCCGCAGCTTTGGCTGGGCAGAAATCATCCTCCGTTTCCCAAGCAACCACCGTCAACTCATCGTCGCCATGTTCAGACGCCTCGGATTCGAAAATGCCGAGGCCGAACGGGGCCGCATTTCGTCTTATTCGATTCGGGAAGAGAACGCTGAGACCGAGAACGACGAGAGCCCCCTGACGGCGGACACCAACCCCTGGGCCCGACTCGTAGAGGACGTCCAGAAAGCTTGCCAGATCTCGGAGACCTTCCGAAACATCTTCGGGGACAACGTCACGATTGGACAAATGTTCACGCTTGAAACCAGGGAACAACTAAACCTACTAGACGCCAGAGACGTACGAGCAACAACACTCACCGTCTCAGTTCCTCCTCCCGGACAGGCCCAAAACGACGAGGAGTGAGAAGAAATGGCACTACGAGACCTCCAGCCCTGGAAATGCGAAATACGAGAAAACGGAGACGAGTGCGGTTCATTGTTCGCCAGCCAGAAAGCGATGCACAGCCACATCATCAGATCGCACCACAAACATAACCTCGCGGCCCTCCTTACTACGAACAACCAATGCATCAACTGCCTTCAGACGTTCACGAGTCGAGGAACCGTATGGAAACACCTGGCCAGGAGCATGTTGAGTGGAAGCTGCAACCCTGACAGAACACATAACCAATGCGAAACGACAACTCCTGGAACGACTTGCCCTCTCTGCAGCCATCTAGCTCTGGATCAGGGGACCTACTTTCAACACTTGAGGACGCACCTCCCGAGACAGGTACTCCGACCGCGCGACAGAGATGGCACTATTCGATCAGCGCCCGGAGTGGGCGCCAACCGCACCAGCGCCAAGAGGCCGACCGCGACCGGATCGCAGCCGGCAGCCGAGGAGGCCGCAAGCGGGAGGAGGCGCAGCGGGAGCGGCCGGAGGAGGGCAGCCAGCCAACGCGCAGGTGGTGGATCCCACAGCCAGGCTGGTCCTCATACTGGCGCGAGAACAAGCAGAACTCGCCTCCGCGGTGATCCAGAGGTGGGAGATCGACGCCAACGCCGAGGTGTCCAAGGTCGAGCTGACAGCAGGCAAGGACTACAACGACGCGGCCCAGGACCTGCGCAGAAGGGCAACCGGCGGGGAGAACGTGGACACCGCATCGCTGGGCAGCCCGCACGTGAAGATCTGGACGGAGGTGCTAATCTACCTGGGCCGCGTGCACGAGGCAGGAGCCGAGCGAGACCTACTCGAGAAGTACTACACGGATTGCGTATTGAATGGCAACGCGGAGATCGTAACATCGTCAGTGCCCGTGTTCCGCGTCAGGCGCAACAAGGGGAAGGAGGGCGGCAACGGGGCGCAGGAGAAGTGCAGGTTCCAGTTCCAGATGCATCGCACGCACCATGAGCTGGAGACTGTGGTAGTCAAGCAGCTCAAGAAAGAGATGGCGATCAGCAAGGTGGGAGCAGCGACGCGTGGGGCCATCGAGAGGGAGCTCGGGAGACTCATCAACGGGGCGTGAGCAATACGACAGATAATGGCCGACTGGACACCGATCAGCTTTGTGTGACACCAGCAGGTGCAGCTCCCAACGGTGACCGACTGGACACAGATCAGTTTTGTGCGACGCCAGCTGGTGCAGCATCAGATAGTGGCCGACGGGACACATATCAGTTTTGTGCGACCTCAGCGGGCGCCCTGCAGCAGGAGACCAGAACGCAAGGGCCAGGGAAGGGCCACAGTTAGGGTGAGGCCGAAGGCCATGAGAGCGACCGCGAGCTCCCCCCACCCCGAGGCAAGGGCCGAAGGGGGGAAGGGAAGGGGTGGAGAGGAGAACACTAGAGGGCACCCGTAAAGGCGGGTCCTACCCTGCCCGCGGACCCCTGCGTGGGGAGGTCGGTGCAGGGAGGGCCCGAACGCCCCGTGGCGCCAGCGTCCCCCTTTGCAGAAAGTGACCGCAGCTGGGCCGCACTACAGTTTCTGAAGGCTCACTGTACTAGTCGTAGTCCAGTAACCCCAGACAGGCCCAAGAGCTCGATCGATCGATCAATCCTCCTGCTCTTTCCTCCACCTCCCCGCGAGGCTATCCTAGCCTGACCTAGCCTCCTCCTCCTCCTCCTGCTCCTCCTCCTCCTCCTCCTTTTCCTTTTCCTTTTCCTCCTCCTCCTCCTCCTCCTCCTCCTCCTCCTCCTCCTCCTCTTGGTCTTCATCCACCTCCTCCCTCTGCGCAGTCCTCCCCGCTCACCTGGGTCGCGTGCCAGGCGCCCCCCCGCAGCGCGCAGCGCTGGCTCTCCGGGAGCCCCCCCTGCTCCTCCACGTCGTGGTCCCTCCTAATTCTCCTCCCCCTCCTCCTCCGCCACCCCTTCCTCCTCATCCTCCTCCTTTTCATCCTCTTCCTCCTTTTCCTCGTGCTCCTCCTTTTCCTCCTAATCTTCCTGCTCAGTTCCAGATCTCCCACGTCGCGTTTTATTCTTGTTCGCAGCACGGGCCCCGAACCGATGTTAAATCCCGGTTGTTTTTTCGACGCCCCTTGCGCCCGTCTCGGGGCCCACGGATACCGGAAACGGCCAAACACCCCCCGCAATTTTTCTCACGACTCGAGGAAGTCCTTTCATCCTGCACCCCTGTTGGTGAGGGGAGGGGGAGGGCGATGGATCGGGTTCTCCGAAGAGGGAAGCAAGGAAAAGAGGGGTCGGCGCATCGCTGGACGGGGGCTCGTGCGCTGACGAGGGCGGAGTGGGCCAAGGAACGCCCTGAGCGAAGAAGAGGGGCCAACACATCCGGGAGATCTCGGGGCATCGGCCATGATATGCGTACCATCGGGCCCCAATGAAGGCCCCGACGACGGCGCCGCCGAAATCCGGTGTACAGCGAAGCTCCACGCGCCGCCGCGCTGGTCCCGGGCATGCTGTGCTGCCCGGCGGAGGGGAAGAAGAGGAGAGAAACAAACAGACGACGACGACGACGACGACGACGACGACGACGACGACGACGACGACGACGACGACGACGACGACGACGACGACGACGACGACGACGACGACGACGACGACGACGACGACGACGAACGCGCAGGCGGGAGGCCGGGGCCGGCGGGGCGGGCTGGCAAGCGGAAGGGGGGCTGCGCGGAGACAGCAGGCAGGGGGCAGGAGGGAAGGGAGGGAGACCAGGAAGAGGAGGAGATGGGAAGCAGCCACAACTAGACAGGCCGGGCCAGTGGCGAGAGAGGAGAGCCACCCGCGACGAGGCTGCCGACCCCACGGTGGCGATGCCGACCAGGCGGCGCAGGCGTAGCGGTGGCGTGGGCGGCGGGCGTCGGGGGGGTTCGCTTGTAGTTGTCGGGAAGGGCCGTCGGGGTCGTCGGCAACGGCGCGGGGTGGCCGACCGAACCCAACGCGCGGCGGCCTGGTGGGGAAAACCCTCTGCGGGATCTTCACCGCCCCGCTGGGCAAGGGCTAAACGGCGTGCGTGAGAAGGGTGGGCGCCAGCGCGACGCAGACGGAATGGCGGGCCGGTGCCGTCCCCGCCCATCCAGACTGCGTCTAGAGGCGGCGCGACACCGCCAGCGAGTTCTCTCTGCGCAGGGAAACGGAAACTCGCCGGGCGTGCTAGTCAGCAATCCACAAACAATGCGGCGTCTCCCCCGCGGCGTCAGCCAGCCGCTTGGCTAGGACTCTGAAGGCCCTGCGTGCCTCGCGGTCGCACCTGCCACCGTGGGCTTCCACCGCCATGGGGAGGAAGGTGGGGCCCTGTGCCGCGTCAAACCGCGCGGTGTCCTAATGCTGCCTCTTGAACTTTTCGTGCCGCTCCTACGCCGCGCTCGACGAAGCGGCCGAGGCGGCGAGGGGATCGGCGCGCAACCCGGACGTGGCGGCAAAGTCCCAGGCAGCCGCCGTGCCGGTGTGCCACAGTGGCAGGTGGACGTCGGCAGGACGGCGGCTGGTGTCGTCCACCTGGCATCTGCCCTGCTCGCCACCCCTGGGGTGGCCTCCCTGGCGGGGCGCGGGGGGCAGCAGCCCCAGGCGCTCCCCCCCCTGGATCAGGAATCTGAGACCCTCTCTGCAGCAGGAAAAGCACCAGATGTCGGTCCCAGTGTGCTCTCCACGTTGTCGCCTCCTTGCTTGCCTGCTTCGGTCTGTGGCGGAGCCAGCAGAATTTTGCTAGGAACTGCAGAGATATGATTGGTGATGCTCCGTGCCTGGTGTTCCTCAGAGGAGCCGCAGCCTGGGTACTCCTAGATAGAAGTTGCGCGCTCACTTTCGCCCTCTCCTGCAAGAGCGCCTCGTGCGCGACTGCTATGCCGAGTCCCCTGATAGGGAGCTCTGCCGTCAAATCCACTGATAGGGAGCTCTGGCATGGCACGCCGCGTTCCCTGAAACCATCCATGGCCGACAATGCTCCCTGACTCCCTGAAAGGGACCGCGCCTGAATGCTCCCTTCTAGGAGCGGCGCCGCCAACTCCCCTGACAGAAGCTCTGGCACGCGAGCTCCCCTGATAGGGAACTCTAAGAGGAGGAGAAGGAGGAGGAGGAGGAGGAGGAGTAGGAAGAGGAGGAGGAGGAGGAGAAGGAAGAGGAGGAGGAGGGGGGAGGCGAGGAGGAGGAGGATGAGGAGGAGGAGGAGGAGGAGGAGCAGGAGCCTCTGGCAGATAATGCTCCCCGAAAGGACCCGCGCCCGGGACTCCCCAGGGAGAGCTGCGCCCGAGCCCTCGCCGAGACGAGCGGCGCCCCCGGGGCTCCAAACAGAAGCTGCGCCGAGACGCTCCCTGACGGGGGAGCCGTGGGCTCCCCGGCAGGACCTGCGCCGCACATGCTCCCTTCAGGGGGACGTAAGACATGGGTACAGGGGACTCGGAACTCCCCGACGAGGTCGTCAAAAAAATGACGAGGCCGAGCCTGCATTTTGACGAGGCCTCCCGCTGCAGACATCCCACGGAACTCCTCCTCGTCAAAATCCGAGGCGCGGTCGTCAAAAAACGATGGCGAACCCGAGTCCTGGCAAACCCGGGTCTTACGCTCCCCCGATCCCTGACAGGAGCGGCGCCTTCCGAGCACAGCCGCCGGCAACGTGTGCTCGTTGAGCCGCTGCCGCGGCTTTGCCCGCCCTCGCCGCCCTCTGCGGCTCTTTCGCCTGCGTCCTGTGCTGGCTGGGTGCCTCAGGGGCGAAGCCCAGAAGGCGCCAGCGCCAGCCAAGCAACGCTTTTTCCACTTGCCCCTTGCTGGCGTAAGGGCGCTGGCCATTCCTAATGCAATGGGCCAAAGTGCCGTGATGATTTTCCTCCCCCCTTCGGTTTTCGGGTCACAACTTGGGCCTCCGGCGGCCATTCGGGATGGTGACGACACGGGCATCCACGGAAAGCTCTTGCAGCAGCGCAGCCGCTGGAAAGCATCCCGAGGCAAGAACACTTCCAAAAGCTAACGAAAGCTCCCCTCCCCCCCCCGCCCCCACCCTTCGACGACGAAGACTGCGTCAATCCCCGCGTGGACGCCCCCGAGGGAGGTTGGCGGCGCGCGCGAGGGGTAGCACGAGGGGGGCGGCCTTCCAAGAAGGCATGGGGGCTCCAGAGAAACCAGGAGCCTTCTTAAGTAGAAGACCTCCTGGCTTCTAACAGGCCTTCGTAGGCACCGTCAGGCCCTTCTGAGAAGGCCCCTGCCTTCTAAGAACCGCGCCGCCTTCTCAGACGGCCACCCCCCCTCGCGCCACCCCCCTTTCCGCGCGCCGCCAAGGAGGGGTGGGGGAGGTGCGCCCAGAGGGCGCCCGACGCCGGGGCCAGGCTCCTCCTGGAGCAGCAGCACGGAGCCCGAGGCGAGCAGCTCCGTCAGCCGCCACGCGGAGACCACCGCGGCGACGTTGACGAGGTATCGGTACCTGGATCGCGGGGGGGAGCGAGGGCGAGGAGGAGCCGGAGGAGGGGGGTGAAGGACGAGGAGGTCGAGGAGGAAGGAGGGGGGGTGGGGGAGGAGGATGAGGAGTGGATCAGAAGACTGGATCAAAGAAGGCGGGATCAGAACAGACGGCGCGAGCAGCGCCTCAGCATTACTGGTCGATGGTAAAAACTGTCGTTGATTGCGCTCGGGCGGTGCATCGCGAGACGCATCGGCGATGTTGGTTGCGTGATCTGCAGAAGGCTGCGGAGGCGTCTCCCCTCTTGCCAGCGGTGGTCGAAGTGTGTGTGTGTGTGTGCGAATCTCGTGTGTTACGAAGGTGGAGCCACGTTGTCGTCCCAAAGGCAGCTGCGGGCTCGTCGAGCTCGGTGGCATCGCAATGGTTTTGACCCCCCAACTCTGTCACCAGAACCGGATGCCCAGACTGCCGGTATGAAAACCACTTGCACAGGCGATTGCTGAAGCACGTGCAGCAGGTCCGTGCGTGTAGGGAAGCATGGTCCCCCCGCCCTGGCCATGGGAAGGTCGACGAAGCGAGCGCCGCGCGACGGGAAGAGCGCCGCAGGAATGGATTTCATGGGTCTCCAGGATGATGTTGCTGCTGCCCCCCCTCCCTCCTGAGACTCGGGCCTCCTATCTGCGTGCGGGGCCAAAATATGTGGCTCATTTTGGAGAGGGGCGGATGGGCAGGGACGCGTCCATGTGCTCGGGGTGGATTTCCAGAGCGAGGAGAGGGCCATGTAAAACAATGGCGAACCTGAGTGGGGACCTGAATTCGTCGACCTCGTCCGCCGTGGGAAAGTGTTCGCTGTGCTGGCGAGACCGCCGTGGGGCAAATGGAGATCTCCAGCTAGGAAAGGGGGACTTCCGCGAAAAGGCTAAGGAACATTGAAACCCATCGGGGAAACACATCCTAACCCCTAAACAATGGAACTGCTTTTCCAGGACAGCGTTATTTGTGCAAGGTCGATCGAATTCTCTGCGAATGTTGGCTCGCGGACGTGCCTTCAGTTATGACCACGACCGTCCGCAGGATGGTCAAGGTGCTCGAGTTTGATTCCTATCCTTGTAGGGATACTCCAGAGTTCGGGTACTCCACTTTCACCATCTTCTTCTTCTTCTATGACCCATCCTGCCCAGCAATGTCATGATCGTCGTGACCCCTTGTGCTGGGCGCTTCCCGGAACTAGGCGCCTCCTGGTGGCTGGCAGCGTGGAGATTCACGCGGTGGAGGCGTGCACTCTGTGAGAGACAAGAAGATATGTCTGGTCAATCCTGGCCGCGAGGTGCCCGCCGATTGGACGCTCAGTGAGGGAGCACCCCTCCCGATCTCGGTGCCGGTACGCGAGGAGGTACCCGAGCATCCCTGTGGGGAGGTGTGGCCCCAGGTGTCGAGCAACGGGGGGCCCGAGGGGGAACCCCGAGCCATATTCGAAAGCACCGCGACAACATCAATGACCGATGGACTGCTCCGCTTCACTGGGATCGCCGATGAGGACCCAGCGGAGCTCGACCCCGATGCCGAGCAGTGAATTTCCCCCTTCTGGCCCCTGCATGTAGGGGTGTGGACGGTGCGCGCTTGGGGCCGCCGTCGTTGGCTGGTAGATTCTTTTCGCCGCGGCTTGACTTGGCTCGTTAGGGTCTGGACTTCGGGGGTGGAGGGTGTCCCGTGTGTTGGCGTCGCCCGTCGGTAGTGCCGTCCTTCCCTTCCCTCTCCTCTCTGTGCATGAGCTGCATTCTTCCTTGCCCGGACTTAGAAGTATATGAAATCCCCGAACAATGCTTGCACTTAGGGGTTTGTTCGCGTGTTCTACGGATGGCGCAACTCGGAAGCCTTCGGAGGCCGTTCACAAGGCCCATTGGGCGCTCTCGCGGTGTGATAGACCCGATCTGGTAGACGGTCGTACCAATGTGTGAGCCACTTGTGCGCCCACGATGCCATTTTGTGAACCACGAGGGCGCCCATGGGGCCCCTGGAACGGCCTGTGTACCCGCGGCCGCGGTCCCCGGCCCGCCTGCGGCCTTCCCCGATGTATACATATATACACATATATATACATATCTATATATAATCATATATGTATGTATGTATGTATGCATGCATGCATGCATGCATGCATGCATGTATGCTTGTATGTTTGTATGTCTGTCTGTCTGTCTGTCTGTCTGTCTGTCTGTCTGTCTGTCTGTCTGTCTGTCTGTCTGTCTGTCTGTCTGTCTGTCTGTCTGTCTGTCTGTCTGTATGTGTATTTATACGTATACTAGAACCATCGCGCGCTTCGCGCGCGCTCAAGTTCTAGCTAGGCTTGATGGGCGAACGCATGGAATCTCATCCTTGTCGTTTCTTGCATCCAGGGACTCTCTTGGAGGCCCTGCGCAAGCCTCGGAATCGTATAGAAGGGAAACGGCGGAAACGCAAAAATCAGTTGCCGTTAGGTCTTCAACGATTTGGGGCCCTCGAAGGCTTCCTGGGTTCTTCTGGGGCCTTCATTGTGGTCTGTTGTGCAAGAATAGACAAGGGGGCGATCTTGGAAGAAAACGAAATGGTGGGAATTCTTTTTTTTCAAGTTGTTGTGTCTGGGCTGTGGGTTAGACGTTTTATGGATGTAGGCCACGGTCTGTTGGGATGCCTCTCGGGGTCTTCGTGCAAAGATAAGCAGGGGGTGAGTTTGAAAAAAAAGGAATTCTAAAATTCCACTGCTTCAGCTCATGGGATCATGGGATCTCGATTTCTACGGTGGTTCAGGGGGCAGCCAAAAGGACGCCAAGACGATCCAAGAGAGTGCCAAGACAGCGTCAGAGAGTTCAACAATATTCCCGAAACATCATTGCATGTGACTCCGACGTCTTGATGGGGCTCGAGGAAGAGGCTAGGGAGTAGGAGTCCCAACTTGAAAACAAAGGGAATATCTGGAGTTCCCTGTTTTTCAAGTTCCTCGGCCTTGGAGTGTTGGAAGCGGGAAAACGTGTGAAGGCGAAAAACATAAACAAAAACCATTGGAAATCTACGATTTCACCCTCTTCGGGCTCTCTCGGGACGGCTCTCGAAGCTCTCTTGGGTTGTTTTTGGGGCCTCGTCGAGGCTTTTGGGGGAGCCTCTCAAGGGTCTGGGGTGTGTTGGAGGCCTCTGGGGGGTCCTGGAGTCCTCTCGGAGGTCTCTGGCGGCCTCCTGCTCCTGCTCTTGGGCTCATCTTGGGCCTGTTCAGGGGTGGTCTGGAGCTGTCCTGGGCGCCTGTTTGGCAGTCTTGGGGCCGTCTTGGCCCGTCTTGGAGCCTTGGGAGCCTCTTCGGCCGTGTGGGAGCGTTGGAAGCATGAAATGGTGAGAAGGCCAAAAACCATACAACAACAAATTAGCATTGACGATTTCAGGTTCTCTGGGCGCTCTCGGGAGGCCTCTCGGAGCTCTCTCGAGGTTCCTTGGAGGCCTCCTGGGAGCCTGGAGAGCCGCCCGAAAGCTATCCTGGGTTGCTTGGGACCGTCTTTGGGTATCTCTTTTACAATACAAACAGTAAAAACGAAGAAATCAAAAATGAAAATGAAAAAAAAGTAGTAGATACTCGAGATCCAATTGAAATTTTAGAGGAGACAAAGGTAGAATTACATTACGAAATTAAGAAAAGAGAGTTCTAGGGCCTTCTTGGGGTAGTCTTGGGCTGTCCTCGTGCGTTCTCGGGGCTCGCGGCACCGTCGCCGCACAGCCATCCTGCCCCTCACATCCGGTTCGCATGCTTCGATCGTGCCTCCCAGACGACTTAAATCAGGACTGGGAGGCATTCAATCGCGGGCGGTGCACTCATGATCCTAAAACCTTGCTCCTTCTCCTCCTCCTCCTCCTGCCTCCCCTCCTCGGCCCACCTCTCCCCTCTCCCTTCCTCCTGCCTCCTCCACAAGTGCACAATATGAATACTACTCTCCTCTCTCCCCTGGTGACGTCCAGGAAATGGGCGGCCCCCCTCCGCGTACTGGTTTTTTGCACACAGGATTCCTGGTGAACGGGTTTTCGCTTGGGCGTTTTTTCCAAAATGCTGCTCTCGCCGAGGCGCTGGCTTCATTTTCGGGCCACCGCTCGTTCCGAATTGTGCTCCGCTGCAGCGCTGGCCTCATGTCCGCCCTTCCGCTCGTTCCGAATCGTGCTCCCGCTGCTGCAGCGCTGGCGTCATTATTTCCAGCGCCATGCCACGGCACGGTTTCCGGTCCTTCCAAATAGGCTCCCAACTCTAGAGAAGGGCCCCATGAAAAACTATCGGAAGTGATTACAAGTTTGGTGTCGATTCGTTGATTCTTGGGTCGCAGAAGCCCTATGTCGGGCTCCGCGTCCTCCTAATCGTGCTCCCGCTGCAGCGCTGGCTTCATATCCGCGCTTCTGCTCGTTCCGAATCGTGCTCTCGCTGCAGCGCTGGCGTCATTACTTCCAGTGCCATGCCACGGCATGGTTTCGGTCTTTCCAAATAGGCCCTCTAATCTAGAAAATGCCCCCCCCCCCCCCCCCCGAAGAAACCATCGGAAGTGATTTCACATTCGGTGTCGATTCGTTGATTCTTTGGGCTGCAGAAGCGCTCCTCCCCCACTTTGGGGCGTCGCCACGCCATGCTATGTCATGCTACGCGTTCCATGCTATGTCATGCTACGCGTTGATCTTCAACACCATCATGCTATGCCATGTAATGCTATGCCATGCTGCGACATCTGATTGTGCGAATAGAGAAGAGATCTACGTCACGGTGAGGGGTTGGAGGGAGGGGAAGAACGTCAGATATGACGCGGGCGCACCTAGCTTGCCCCCTCCCCCTCCCCCTCTCCTCCTCCCCTATCCCCCTCCTCCCCCTCCTTCCACTCCCCCTGCTCCCCCCCCCCTCCCCCTCCCCCTCCCCCCTCCTCCCCCCCCCCCTCCTCCCCCTCCTCCCCCCCTCCCACTCCTTCCACTCCCACTGCCGTCCGCCGCCCCACCGCGGCAAAGGGCGCTTCGGCAGCTCCCGTGCGAAGTTCGCGTGTCTCGTCTGGCGGCCGCGGCCGCAGACCGTGGCCCGCTCTCCCGGCGCGCTGCGACACCCCGGCGGAGGAGCCAGCCGAACGACGACGGCGACGGCGTCGACGACGACGACCGACGACGACAGACGGGAGGGTGGCGACGATGGCGTCGGCGGCAGCGCCGGCCGCAACGACAACGACGACGACGACGACGGCGACGACGACCTCTTCTTCTTCCTCCTCTTCCTTCTCCTTCTCCTCCTCGTCCTCCTCCTCCTTGACGCTGGGCGCTGATGGCACCAGGTCCACCGCCTCCTCCTCCTCATCCTCCTCCTCGTCCTCCCTCCCCCACCTCCTCCTCCCTCAGGCACCCTCCCCCTCCTCCTCCCCTTCCTTCCTCCTCCCCTCCTCCTACGGTTTCTACGGTTTCTAACATGAGGAATGTTCGAAGCGTATCGAATACAGCTTGCAAAATGATAGTGTGCGGGCGGGCGGCGGCTCGCGCCAAGGCGCGAAGCGGGGCCTCCTCACACCCGCCGCCGCCGTTTAGCGGTCGCCGTCAGATTCGCTTGAGCTGTCGTCTCTGCCCCACTTTCGGGCACAGTCATGCTTGCGCTCGAACTCGCCGTATGGGTCGAGGGGGATATAAAATCCGAGAGCGTCTTTAGGGACCTCCCAAGTCCTAGGGCCGACCCTCGTCCTGGCCTCGACCCCTTCCCACATACATCGAGCGAGCAACTTGCACAGCTCAGCGGGGTACTCCTTCAACGCAGCTGTTCGGAACTCCCCCATCTCCCCACGGCCCAGGGCCTGACGATGCCGACCAGGATGGTTGCACCTCCCCCCCCCAGGTCCTTCACGGACCTTTATCCCCAGAGAGGAAAGGTGGATGGTCAGGTCAGAAACGTAGTAGGTTTCTCATACTCACAACCGTAGAGGCACTGAGCAACTGTCACCTTCTCGGCTCCTGGCAACGACAGGATATATCGAACCTCGTCCAGCACCCACGACGAGGGAGCCTGCGGTCGCCAATGGGCCTCGGTTGGGTGTTCCATAATAGCAGGGGTGTCGTGCCCCGCGCGCGCCACCAAGAATCTACACATGGTTCTCAACAGAACATTGCCGAGGTCAACTTGCCTCCTTGCCTTACTCGTGAGACATTCAATGCCCCACGGGAGCTCCCTGGATCTCACCGGCCTGGGACCCCTGCCGTTGGCCAGACTGTTGAACCTGGCCGCGCTCCACGTCTCGCACGGGGGGCCCCCGAGCAAGCCGACAACCGAGAACTCCCGCACAAGTTTCAGCCAGTGCTCGATGGTGCCTTCGACGCTGAGGTCCCCCAACACAGGCGCGTTGGCCACATCTAGGCTCAGGGTCCAGACGGGCCTGTCCTGGGGGGCCTGGGCCTGGAAATATTCAATCCAATCCTGCAGGTCACCCAGCTGACGTCTACCCGAGAACAAGTCCAGGATAAAGTAGTACTGGAACCTACTACGCTCTGGCCGTCAAAAAAAAAAAGCCCGAGCATCCTCCTGAGCCTCCACGACGCTTGGGGGCTCGACGGGGTCGCACATCTCAGGATCCTGGGGCGGGATCAGTGGGGTCGCCGACCTCACGGCGGGGATCAGGGCCTTCTCCTGGTAGAGGCCTCGCTGCCGAAGATCCTTGCTCTCCTGCGCGTCAAGCCTCTGGAACTCCAGAACCTGCTCCCCCCCCCCCATGGGCTTGAAAAAAGCTCGAATCGCCGTGAGACACCTCGCACTTCTGTTTCTCAAATGCTTGCCGAGTCTCAGCCTAGCGTGGAATTCCCATCCACAGGCAGGGCAACGCGACCCGAACAGAAACCGACTAACCTGCCCGAGCTCCGGATGGGCCTTAGCGACATGGATTTTCCACCCAGTCTTGCTTTGGGCGGCGTAGCCACATTCATGGCACACATAGCCTCCAGGGGACTTGACCTTCGCAAAGGGGGGGGGGGGGGGGGGCAAGGTTCCGCCTTCAGCTTCCGCCGCTAGCGCCCTGCGCCACTCCGTAAGCCTCAGCTGGTCACGCTCCCAGGCAAGCGAGTTCCTCCAGGCCAAGCGGAGACAGGTGAGGAAAACATCAGGCCCGTTCCTGGCCACTTCCACCGCGGCTTCCACATAATCCCCCAACACACGAGTGGCTTCCTCCCCCGCGTGCCTTCTCATCCACTCAAGGTCATATTTTATCAGTTGCGGCATAACGAAGCAGACGCAAAGATACTTGAGTCTCCTGTGCGCCAACAATCGCCCAAGAGGCGCCCGATGGCACGTGAGCAAAACCTCGGCATCCGACATGGTATCATTTCTCCTCTGACACTTGACAGCACGTCTCAGGGACCCGTAGTAGGCCGACTCAAGCTGCTGCTTGCTTTTCTCACTCATCTGTCCCCACGTCTCCGCATTATGTATAATCTTAGACTCGATGAGAGCCGCATGGTACTGCAACTTAGCCGCCAGGGAGACCCCTCTCATTCTGAAAACGGTCCTAGACATCGCCCCCGTGATGGCTCTAGCAGTGCCACATCTATAGACCACCTCGGGCCCCACCGACCCGTCCGCGGCCAGCAACGTCCCGAGAGACTTATGCGTGGCCACCATCCCAACCGTTTCCTGCAAGCTTGGGATGTAAATCTGGCCCTGCAACTCCACCGACAGCAAACGCTTACACCACGCTTTGTCTTTGCCGTTGACCTGAATCATCACCTGCGATTTTCCCGCAACAAAACTGATGACGAGGCCATATTGGGCCATGCGCGTGACAATGACCGAGAACACCGTCCGCACAACCCACAGCACATCAGAGTTGCTCCTACACACTACGGGAAAATTAGCATCATCACCATAGGCAGTGTCGGCCAGAGGGGGCTCGTCCCCCGGCTCAGCCAGGATGCTGACCTGGGCTTCTTTCAACTCATACAAAAGACCCTTCTCGCTTAAATCCTTCTCAATAGTATGCAGAGTCCGAGCGAAAAGGGTGTTGTAGAAAAAATCAGCAAGCGCATTGCCTGGCCTAGAGCCTTTGGTCGTGGCAGCGGCGCAACGTTCTTCGCCAACCCGAGACCACGTCGCTCTCTGACTCTCGCTCAGCAGCCGACTGAGGTGGGGGGGTTCCCCTCGAGGATACACGGCGACTGCGTCGTCTGCTCGAGGGCTGGCCTCATCCACCCTTTGATATGGACCGACTCAATGATGCACCTCCTCTCCTCCTCATCCGTAAGCAGATCAACAACGAACTGCCGAATCATATTATAAAATGCGCTGACCACGTCCACAAGCGGCAGCACCGCCGTGAACTTCTCAGCCTGCGCCTGATGCAAGAAAGCCAACATCGTGTGGGTGGACAGCGCAGTTCCTCTCCCTCTCCGACCTCCAGTCTGAGAGTCTGTGAGCAGACTCTCAATGAACACGTTCAAGCACTGTCTGAGGAAAGCGTAGTGGAACTTAGGCACGGCATTGGTCAGGGTGATGGACCTGGAATGCTTAGCCACCCCCCAGTCCCCCCTGCCTTTAAACAATCCACACGACTGGGTCCCCTTCCAGGACGGCGGCTCAAACCCCGTAAGACTGACTTTATCAAGCAAAGGTTGGATGTGCCGAGCCACAGCCTCTGGGGCCGCGGCCAGCACGTCGACCGAGAGCCCGTTGGGCACGACCTTCATCTCTTCCTCTTGGGGGCCCCTTGGATGGCCCCAACGAGCCACTCACGGGTGGGGACATACTCGATCGCCGCTTGAAAGTCAGTACTCGTCCTACGAGTCGTCTTATCGTAGATGTCCTCAAGCTCCTGGAAACGCACCCTACGGGCCCCCTCGATCTCGGAGAAATGCCTCAGAAGCTCCTCATCCCACTCTTGGGGCCCTCGGAGGACCTGGCCTTGTTCATCCCGATAGATAGGCAAAAGATTCGCCCCTTTATACCGAGCCTCCTCGAAACCTCCAGTGGCAATGACCCTCTTGGCCTTCTGCCACTCGTTACTGGCATCCCCGCTCTCACGACTGCTCATCGTTTCCTGCGCCAGGTCCTCGACTTCACTAATGCGATCCCGCATGCTGCAGTCGCGCAGCACCTGCCGGGTCTGGTCAAGGAAAAAACGAATAGCATCGACCAGGCACGCAACTGGCAACACCGTCGCCACAACCTGTGAGCAAATTTCCTCCAGGTTGCTCGCGTGGAGGCTCCACTCGCACTGCGCCCGCACAAAGTCAGCGACTCGCGGCCCGAAAGACCACGCAAAGATACGTGCTATGTCCCAATTGCCCTGCCTAGACCCACGGATAACCTTGACCCCCCATCTGCGGAGCCTAACCAGCCCCATGACCTGCCTACTGACATACGGCTTAAAGGGAGTAAAGGGGTCCTGGCCAAAGTGCCTCTTAGCGGCGTTCAACATGGTTTCAGTCACCGCCACACTGTGCTCCTCAGCACCGACCTCCCACGCGCACACTGGCAGCTCATTGAGCTCCCGAGCGAAGGCCCCTTTGGCCTCAAGGTCGGACAACTTACGGGGGCCCATGCGGGGGGCCCCGTGAGCCTTGACTTTTTTGACCACCTGATACTCGAAACGACGCACGACAGGGAAATGATCATCCTTGAGTCGCTGAGAATCAAAAGCGTAGTCAACCCAAACCTTTTTGGCGTACTGTCGCCGAGCCGCACTGGTGGTCACATAATCCAGTCGATGTCTGGCGCCCGCATGCGACACCCAAGTGCACCCCTGGTCGTGAAGCAAGACCGTGTTGAGAGCCACATGGCCCCCAAGATCAAGCAACTCCCGAAAATCTCCTCCGTTATCATCCTCCTTCTGCTGCAAGCCACACCCCCCCACTCCTTCATCTTCGACGCTGCCGACGCGGGCATTCGCATCAGCCAGCAGGATGGTCGGCTTCCATCGTGCCATCAACTGCCGCGCGTGGGCCCACCACGCCTTTCGCACCTCCGGCTTGTGCTTGCTGCGTGGGGCATGCAACGCAGCAGCATTTTCGTCGAAAAACTTGGCCTGCACAGCCACGATGAGGGCGCGGGGGTCAGAATACAGCACGCGGACTTGCTGGGGCTGGATCCAGTGCTCAACCTCGCCAACTCTCGCGTACACAGCTTGCAAGTTAACGTGGAGTTCACACCCGAGACTCCCCTTTTCAAGTCCCGAGGACAGGACCAGAAAATCCTCCGCGACCTTGCGTCGCTTGGGCGCGCGGCTTTCTTGCACCCCCACGAACAGCCAACCTAACTGCCTGAACTGGGCTCCGTGGTGCGCAGCTCTAGCCACCGCCGCCTCTTTTTTTAGCGGCCTTCTTCTTGCAGTACCCCTCCTCCTCATCCTTGAGAGTGAGCACACTAAAGGTGGCCACAGTGAAGCTAACTCGGGCCTTGACCTTTTTCTCTCCGCACTTCTGATCCTGATGCTCCATTTGGCCACTTGGGGCCTTTCGTTGGAACTCGAATCCGCTGGCCCCCATCGGGGGGTAGGCGTGTCGGTCAGGATTATTCGGCGACACATCCCACGCCCATTCACGGCCACGCTCATAGCACAGCAGCTGCACAAGCTCGCCTGGGGGGTCGGGTGGCGGGTGCTTGGACATGTGCTTAGCTATACAGTCGGCCATCTCATTCCATGGCTGACCTCGGTGCGCTCGCACATGCTTGCAAACAATCCTTCCCCTCCTGCAGAACTCCTCATGCAGCAGATTGAGGACCCTTGCCAGGGCCTTATTTTCCTTAGACCTGTACTCGCCGACTGTGAGCTTGAGAGCCGTTTTATTATCAACCTCGATGGTGACGTGGACGTCGGCTGGGAAGCGAGCGGCATGCAGCGTCGCCCAGATCATTCCAGCCATTTCCACAACAGTACTCGACTTCTTACTGCCTATGAGCTCTCCTGGAATCGACCCCTCAAGTCTCTGTCCAGCGAACCCGAGAAAAGCGAAACCGTTCGCGTCCTGGCCGACGACCGCGAGCCCCCACGCTGGTTCTAACCCCGCGTGAACCGAGAGGGGCCCGTCTGGGCACAGGACGACGCTTTTGATTCGACTCATCTCCCTCGCAGGGGCGAGCTTCAAAGCAGAACGGGCATTGCGATGCCACATTATCCCCTCCAAATCTAACTGCAACTGAAGGTGACTCAACCATGGGGCGGCTCTCTGGAGAAGGGGGTCTCGGACTCCAAGGGGGCAAGTGTGCACCTCGCAGGTGGGCATCCCTTCCCCTCGGACGTGGGGTCCCGTTCCCCCTCCGACAGCTGCGCTCAGGCCCCCGTGATCGACTGGCTCGGCACTGGCACTCTGGTTGCGCAGGCTATCATCCCGCGCATCTTGCACAACTGTGAGCGACGCTAGAACATTATCAGTGTGGCAGCCTTCCTCCGGCTTGCTCAAATTGTCACAAGTATGCGAGGGCAAACCCTCACAAAAAAAAACAAGCGTCTGAGAGGTGCCGCGGCTAACTTGCCCAACCACGTGCGTTCCCCTCTGGGCGTGAAAACTCGACTCCGCCGCTCGCTGCGGCGCAGCTTCCTGCACTGAATGCGCGGGGAGCAGCCTCTCCAAGCGCGCGACGCGCTTGGCAGGATCGTAGAGCTGCCGCTCCTCCAAATTGTCGGCAAAATGCACTCGCTTTGGTTGCCTCGCGCTATTGCTCGCAACGGGCACGCACGCAGGCAGCGCACTGACAGCACTCTCCCCTACTGAACTCCCAGTCGACAAGGAAGCCAACCTGCGCGGAGTCGCCACCCACGATGAACCACGAAGAGGTACTTCATGCGCGCTCTGTGCCCGACCCGAAAAGAGGGGTGAGTATAGCGTCGGAGTCGATCGTTCATCAGCTCCATGCGCGCTCTCTGCCCAACCCGATGGGAAGGGTGAGTATAGCGTCGGAGACGACCGTTCATCAGCTCCATGCGCGCTCTCTGCCCAACCCAGAGGGAAGGGTGAGTCTAGCGCCGTCGGGTGGAAATCGACGCTGAAGCTGCTCTCAGGGAAGTAGCTCTAGTCGCCCTCTGTGATGCACCCGTCACGCTCACCTGCAGCAAGGACTGGGCATCAGGGTGCCCTTCCTCGCCTTGAGGCCTCGCAGGTGCTGCAGCAAGCAGACTCGCTGCTGCCCGAGGAGGCGCTGACGCCTCCCGTGCATGTCTCCGTCGCGGCCGCACCTGCAAGGATCGCCTCCTCCATGCCAGGGGGCGCCGGGTCGTGGAAGGGCACCACCGGGGGCCTATCCTGGCGGATGTGCTCTGCGACCTGCCTCGCGAAAGCGACGATCACCTCCTCGTTGATGTTGTGTGCGTCTGGGGGGTGGCACTGGTCCCCCATGGCCATCAGGCGCTGCCTCGCGACAAACAGCTCCTCGCACATGCGATTGAGGGGCCTGCCCCACTCTTGAGGCGACGCATCATGCCACACCCTAGCTTGACGGATAGCGAAACTCCGCCTCTCTACAGCTCCCTCACGCCATATCTTATTCAGCATGCGCGTAGCGAACTGCCGCGTCCTCTCGGTGACCTCGGGCGACCTCTGAGCTGATGGGTTCCACTTGGGGTCGTAGACTGGGTGAGCGAAAATCTCCTGCACGACAGCTGGGACTGCCCAGTACAAGAAATTTGCATGTGCGGCCTCCTCGCCAATTATGCGTGCCTCAATAGCCCATGCAGATGATAACTCCGCAAGCCGTTGATAGAGCAACATGAATGAGGAGTCGGATATCAATAGCCCTCCGAACTCACCAGAGGGGCCGAAGTGTGGGTGGCAGCCAAGGCTCTCATGGGGCCTACCCTCCTCATGGCCGCCACCGTCACTCCCTGAAGCACGGGCCTGCTGTTGCACCAAGCTGACCTCGTCCTCCAAATTGCCTGCACAGAAAGATCGATCTGGCCACGATGTGAGAACTTCGCTGACCAAATTAAGCTGCTGTGTGACGTGGTAAACTGACCCAACCACATCCACGCTTCCGCCCGCCGATCGGTACCCTCTGCCGCCGATGCCACCTTCCAGCTGTGCGGGTCGATCCCCGTTATGCTGGCCGGCTAGGCGGTGAGCAGTGCGCGTCGGCGAGCGCCGCGCCCCACATATGCGACGAAAAACTACCTACTCTTCGATGACATCCGCCTGCCGCTGCAACTTCTGGGGTGGTGACCTGCCTTCCACTCGTTGGTCCACCGTCGTCTGGTAGTCCGCCGCGGATATGCCGCTGGGCGACGCAGAGGTCGAGCACCCCTGCCCTGCCACAGCACGGTCGATCGCCTCCACCTGCTGCTTGATCTCCTGCGATGTCATCTGCGACGGCTCGATCATCTCCGCCACTGGGGTCGGCGACGCCTCCATCAACGCCGGTGACATCGCAACTGCTGGCTGTGGCGGTACTGGCCACGGTGGCGGCTGCAGGCACTGGGGCGCCCCTGGTGATCCCGTAACCGTAGGCGTCGGCGCTGGCGTCGCCGTCGCGGAGAAAGCGGGCCCTGCCAGCTCCTCCATCTGCTCGGGCTGCGCGAGGGGCTGCGTCGGCGACATCTGGGGCGGCTGCTGCGGGTACGGGATGGAGGCGTCCTCTTCCTCGATCGTCTCCCAGCCCTTGTCCGCTGCTGGCCTGTCCTTGACCATCACCACCTTGCCGCCCTTGCCCTTGTGCGGGTGAACGCTGCCCTTCTGCCTGTTCTCCCTCGGGTCCTCTTTCTTCTCGGTGATCCGCCTCGAGATCTCCCTCTTCGGCGATCCCACGGGCTCGACCGCTGGCTCTGCCTCCTTCGCCCTCCGCGACTCGCACGGCTGCTGCAGGCCTCCATGCTGGTGCGAGGCTGGCGAAGGCTGCCCTGGTGGAATCGTAGATGGCGTAATGGGTGGCTTCCTGGCCGCGGGGGTCGTGGGCGCCGCCTGCAGAGCCGCTGGACCCTGAGGTGCGTGCCCTCTCCCTCCGTTCTGCCCTCCCAAACTTGCTGTAGCGAAAGCTTGGGCCAGCTCTGCTGTCGCCGTCGCTGCTGGCGACGGTGCCACCTCCGCCATCGCTGGGTTCTGCACCTGGGCGAAGGTCCTGTCGCACGCATCCGTCGGGCACGCCGAGGTTGGCACCCTGATCGTCGGAGGCTCGCCCTTAGACGGGCCGCCCGCTGGGACCTTCGGCGTGCGCAGGACATCGCACAGCGGGGTCGGGCAATCCCACTGCGCAATCCCAGGCGTCTCGGGCTCCATCTGCGGCTGCGCGGGCGCGAAGGGCGCCGACGGAAATGTCGGCGACCTCTGCGCCGACTGACTGGGGTACATCGGGTGGAACCTGGCCATCCTCAGCTGGTGCTGGTACTCCGCAGCATCCGAATCGGCTGGGGTCGTACTTGGGCCCCAGAAAATGCCCGCATCCGCTGGACTCGGGGCCCGTCGAAACACCATGCCCGCCGCGTGCCTTTCTGCCCGCAGCTGCTCGTATATGTTCGGATATCCAGGGGGGGTAGACGCGGCCGTAGACGTGGGCGATATGCCTGGCACCTGCCCTGCCTGCATCGGCGTGGTCGGCGTTGGCTGACTCCCCATCCCTGGCTCCTGCTGTGGCATCCGCGGCCCCTGAGCTGTCCAGGGGGCGGCCTTCATCATCATGCGCACCTCGTCCATCAGGTGACCGCGGAAGCTGCCAATCTGCCTCATCATGGCCTCCTGCTGGTTCTGCTGCTGCATCTGCGCCGCGGTCAGACGCTGGAGGCACCCCTTGATCGAGCCCATCTCTCTGGAGCTCTCTGGCACAGCTGGCGCGGCATGGCTCGCCGCAGCTGCCTTTGGCGCCGCTGAAGATGCTGGTGCCTCGCTCCCAAGGCCTGCATGAGGGTTCCCAGGCGCCCTGCCAACGCCCTCCTCTGCATTGTGCATCTCCGTGTCGGCGCTCTCGGCCGTGCCACCCTCGTCCTTCGACTTCGTCAGCTGGTCGGTCGTCTCCTGAATGTTTCGGATGGTTTCCTCGATCTGGATGCGCCTCTCGCGCACCTCCGCCTCCTTCTGCTGTATCTCGCGCAAATGACCCTGCTCTTTCTCCAACTGTATGTTGACCTCGGACAACTGGTTCTCTGATCCTGAACTCTCCGTCAACATGCATTTGAGTACAGCTATATCCTTGCAGTCCGCGTCGTTTGCAGGGCGATCCGCTGCGGCAACAGCCTTGATGATAATACCGATCTTGCGAATATTCTCTTTGATATCTTTGCGATGCTTGTTCACTGCTTCCTTCTGCTCTGCCGGGGGCGCCTTCACGTAGACATGCTTGAAGGCCTCCGACCTCGTCACCTCTGGGGTAGCCGGCGCAATCTTCGCCACGAGCTGATTCACAGTATCCTTGTCGCCTTTGTTCCAGGGGTCTCTGCTCTTGGACCTCTCTCTTGGCTGCATGGGCTGCGACTTGGAGCGCGAGCGCCAGTTGTACCCGCATCCACATACTGCGTGAGAAACTGGAATATGTGTGTGGTATGAGGGACATTGCCACATTCGATCTCTTGGGGTTGCGTGATGGCTGCGCAACGCTAGACCTGCCTTGTACACCCTCAGTAATGCTCTGTTCCGTGCTCGCTCGGCGCGCAACCGCCTATGCTTGGAATCGCCAACTAAGGGAATCTTGTACGCGGCCACGGCAGTGGCGCCGCCTAGGGTTTCAAGACAAAAAAGTGTGCAGGTACCTCCTCAGCCGAAACCCTTCCCTCCTCCTCCTCCTCCTCCTCCTCCTCGTCCTCCTCCTCCTCCTTCTCCTCCTCCTCTTTCCTCCCTCCCTCCCTCCCTCCCCTCACTGGTCAGGCACCCTTGCCAGCCCCAGACTGATGCGCTTCTCACTTGCCAGTTTTCCCTGGGCCACCGTGAACTTTCATTGGATGTTGATGGTGCCCTGACGTTGCACCAGTTCACGCGTCTGAGTGTGCCACACGTCGTGAGGCAACGCGGCAATGTAGCAGCGATCGCCCCCTGCCGCGCGACCGCCGCCCGCCCAGCCGCGCGTGCCCTGCCGTGGGGAGGGAGCAGCGCGGAGCAGTGGAGCAGCGGAGCAGCGGGCGCCCGCGTTCTGCCTCTTGTGGGCCGACAGCGCGTCGCTTCGAGCCGCAGCTGGGCCAGTCGCCGAGTTCTGCTGGTTCAGTCAAAATGGCGCCCTGTCGTGGTCGTCGTCGTCGTCGTCGTCGTCGTCGTCGTCGTCGTCGTCGTCGTCGTCGTCGTCGTGCTGGCCGCCAGGTACGCGTCTCTCCACCCGCCTGCCGCCGACCACCTCGGGAAGGGAGAAGCAGGAAGGGTGCATGTGCCCTGCCTGCAGCCCAGCCTCGCGCGCCGCCCGCCGATCAGAGATCGGGTAGCAGAGTGGGTCCTCTCGCCAAGCATGCGACGCCCCGATTCTTTCAGGACGGCATCTCTGGAAGTCCCGACCCTGTCCCCGGGACCGGTTTTTCGTCCTGAGTGGTTTTGTTGACGGTCCCGAGGCCTGGCAAGGGCCCCACGGGGCCGCTCTGTTTTTTTTGTTGCGACGCGATCATGTCTGGGTCGCTCGACTGCAGCCCCGCGCGCCCAGAGCGCGCGAGAGCGCCGCCTCGCTGCGGGCCAGGCTGCCCCTGCAGCCTCCCCCGCCCGCCTGGCGTGAAGTTCTCCGTGCTCCTTTTTGGATGTCGCCGCCTCGTGGTGTGTGCGCTCTGCGGGGCGTGAAGACATGTTGCCCCTTCCCCTCCTCCTCCTCCTCCTCCTCCTCCTCCTGCTCCTCAAGTCCTTCTCCTTGTAGATAACTTCTCCCTGTCGCACCCCGAGGCCAGTTTTTAGGGCGGGCCCGGCGTTTCACCTGAGACTTCCTCACCACTCATGATTCTGAGGCTTACAAAGTGACAGCAGTTTCACAGATGGAGGGCGGGTCGTTTTTTCATGTGACTCTCGTCTTAGCGCCGCGCACATTCGTTTTCAACATTTGCACGAGCTTCACGGATTGAGGGCGGGTGGTTTTCAAAATGTGGCTCTCGACAGCGCGCCGCGCACATTCGTTTTCAAACTTTGCAAGAGCTTCACGGATTGAGGGCGGTTCCTTTTCAAAATGTGGCTTTCGCCTGAGCACCGCGCACCTTCGTTTTCAACATTTGCAAGCGCTTCACGGATTCCATTGATCAGCGTACCAGAACTGTTTTTTGGAGGGGTTCAGGATTATGCGGGTGCAACAATTATATTGATTCGCGGTGTTGACGTCCCAAAAACGGCGTTCTGGTACGATTCTGGATCGTCGAGACGCAGCAGTCAGGTTGATACGTGGCGTTGAAATCCCGAGAACAATGCTTTGGCATGCGTCAGGGTCTTCAAACGGTTGTCCTCCAACGAGGCAGTTCCCTCAATGGAAGCGAACCGTTGTAGGGCCTATGAAGAGGGAGCTTGGAGGGAGGGTTAATTCCAACATCGTTGATGACTCTTGGGCTTGCACTGGTCCTCCTCCTCCTCCTCCTCCTCCTCCTTCTGCCCTGCCGCAGGGAGAAGGGCGTATGACTCAAATACTGATGCACTCTACCCGTGTCCGACGTTCCGGTCCATTCGTGTCTTGTGCTCGTCCCCTTCTGGCCCTGGTGATCCGGGCCACGTCGACAGCAGCCGAGCAGGACCGCCGCCTCTGCTTCGCTGCTCTCTTCCCGACCACGGCCGCGAATCAGAGACGGCTGTTTAGCTGCGCCCTTGCCGACCTTCAGACTCCTGCCGTGATGGACGGCTGCTGCGAGTCCTGCATCGCCACCTTTAAAGCGGTGCCGACCAGCCGCCATTCGAGGGGTCAGTGGAGGATAGTAACGGGATGGGTTTGGTGGGCTCTACTGTACTGAACTTGCCTTCTTGGTGCCCGTGAAGATGACTTTTTAAGCCTCTGCTAGCTGCAGCGCCGCCCTTCCGTGACAGCCAGCTGGTTCATCACGCGTGTAAACCACAAATCCCTCCCCTCTCCTCCTCCTCGTCCTCCTCCTCCTCCTCCTTTCCCTCCTCCTCCTCCTCCTCCTCCTCCTCCTCCTCCTCCTCCTCGTCCTCCTCCCCTCTCATCCTCCTCCTCCTGATCCTCCCCATCCTCCTGATTTTCCTTCTTCTAGTCCTCCAGGCTCGATGGACGGTCCTCGGGCGTGCGCCGCGGACCAATGGCTCGGGCTAATGCTTATGCTGTTCCGCCTCCTCCGGAGACTGCCGGACACCCCGCTCCGAGCACCGCTGCTCAGCCCCGGCCGAGGTATCCATGACGCTCGACCCGCTGCGACAGAACCCTTTCCACCAGGCTGCTCGTGGCGCCCATGCCCAGGCTGCCCCTCCCTGTGCGACTCGCGCCCATGATCCACCGAGCTGCTCGTGATGCTTGCGCTTATGCGGCCCCTCGTCGTCGTTGTCGTTGTTGTAGTCGTCCTGGTCGTCGACCTGGTCGAAGTCGGTGGTCGTCGGCCCCGTGGCCGTCGTCGTCACCGCAGTCGTCACCGCCGCCGTCGTCGCCGCAAGCGCCGTCGCCATCGTGGCCGTCGCGGCCGTCGTGGTCGGCGCCGCCGCCGCCGTCCTCGGTTGTCGTCGGCCCCGTGGCCGTCGTCGTCGCCGCCGCCCTCGCCGGCCGGGCGGGCGGCCGCGAGGCGGCCTGCCGGAGATCCCCCAGGAGGCGCTGCAGCTTCTCTTTGCCCAACCGCTTCTGCGCCAGGGGGCGGGCGCGGTGGCTGTCGCGCTGCGCTGCTCGCTGCGAGGGCGGCAGCGACGACGACGACGACGACGCCGACGCCGACGACGACGACGACGACGACGACGACGACGACGACGACGACGACGACGGCGGCGGCGGCGAGGGGAGAGGGGTAGCGAGCAGGCCATGCGAGGCTCTGGGGCGCTGTCCGAGATGCCGCCGCGGGTGCACGACAAGCAGCGCCCAAGCGGCGCCAGCGGCGCCGCCCCTCTTGTTCGGCAGGCGCTGTCGATAGAGGCCTCCCGCATGGGGTCCGAGTAGATGGGGTCGGAGGATCGCGCCGCATCGGCAATGCATCGGCGATGCATCGGCACTGCAACGGCGATGCATCGCCGACGTCGGCGACGTATCGGCGACGTATCGGCGACGTCGGCGTGGAGAAAATCGGGCTCCGCACCGAGCCGCATCGCCGATGCATCGGCGATGCGGCGCGATCCTCCGACACCATCTAGTCCGACCCCATCTAGGAAGCCTCGAGTCGAGAAGGAGGAGGAGGAGGAGGGCAGGGAAGACGAAGGACGGGGGGCGTGGCGATGTGGGAGGGGAGGCCTCCGTTATTTCTTCTCCCTCTTGTGTCCCCCCCCTCCTCCCTCCCCGTTCTTCCTCACCACCCGTTGTTGAGGCCTCACTTAGATAGCAAAACACATTGTTCATCCCCCCCTCCGGTGCCCATTGTGTTTTTCAACCGAAGTGCCCATCCCGGGGCTCGCATCCTGTTTGTTACCAGGGGAAGTCTTGAACCTCACAATGGGTTGTTGGCCCCCGAACTACAATAACAACGGCTTCCACCTTCTACTTCCTGACAGTGTGTTCAAAAGTGCGCTCTCGCGCGGGAGCGCCTCAAAATTTACCCAGCACTGGCGATCTCGCGTGGGCCCCCCTCTCAATTATTGAAAAGACGCGCCCTCGAGACTCAAGAATCACGCTCTCGCTCTGGACTTGCCTACGATGTACGTAGGAATCGCGCTATCGCTGAAGACACCCTGGCGATTCATTCCAAGCAAATCCCTCAACGACCCGCCCGCTCGAACCGGCCGTCTGTGTCTGGGCCCGTCCTCCCGACCCGCCCGGTAGGGTCCGCCCGCCCGACCCGCTCGTCTGGTTCTGCCGCTTGTTTTCCTGCTCCTAAGCTCCTCCTGCTAATTTAAGCCGTGGTCCATCCTTCTGCCTCCCCCTTGCCCTTCCCTCCTCCCGCTCCTCCGCACTCCTTTTCTCCTCTCCCTCTGTCTCTCTCTCTCTCTCTCTCTCTTTAAATGTCTCCCTCACCTTCTTGCTTTAGGGGCCGCGCCAACTACACGTCGCTCGCAAACGAAGAGAGCGGGTATCGAAGTATTGGGGTAGACATGTTCGTTGACCCTGGCAGGTAAGAGCGATCTATCTTAAACTGATTTCTTGTTGGTGTTGCTCGATTCTCATTTCTCAAAAGTAACGGTTGTGGATCCCCCCTTCGGTGCCCATTGCGTTTTTCAACTGAATGGCCCTCTCCCCTGGGGCTCGCGGTCTGTTTGTTGCAAAGGAAATATTTGGCTTCAGACTGTGCCCCTGGCCCCTGACTTACAACAACAATTGCTCCCGCATGATACTTCCTCAAATTGTGTTCAAAATCGCGCTCTCGCGCGGGACTTCCCCAAAATTATCCAGGAATCGCGCTCCCGTCGCAATCTATCGGAAACGCCGCGCCCTCGACACT